CTCACCTGACTCCAGTGTCCCATATAGTTGGGGAAGGCGGCGGTGTCGTAGCCCATGTCCTTGCAGTAGTCCAAGGTGATCTGTTCACAAGTAACCATCTGAGAGGTGGGCGTGGCCGACGGAGCTACAGAGACATTGACGGGGGGATCAGATTGGTATAGATTTCCATACTCAACTCGAATTATCTTTTCAAATAAAACTCTCCTATTCTACATGTGTGGAGATGATGTCTTCTTTTAAAATTGCAAACACTATTTTAATAAAAAGCATAAGGAATCGGCAAATATTTAATGCCTGAAGTAAAAGTCAACAATGTTTACTTTAAAACGAATATCGAATCCAAGCAAAAATGCTTCTACGTATCGTAAACTGTCGTTAAAAAGCACGCACCTGTCGGCGGTAGTGACGGAGCGACATCTGGTTGTACACAGGTAGGGTTGTTCTGGTCCAAGACAGGCCACGAATCACACGCCATCGTCTGCGACACCTGGGGGAAGCGGGTGAGGAAAGTCGAGCAGTTCGCCTTGAAATCTGAATTGGACCAATCAACGTGAATACACTGAATGCATATTGCATATTTTTTTGCAATGTACATATGCAAAATACTTTTATATCAAATTTGTAAATATTTTTTTTGATGTGTGGTTCACTAACAACAAATCATGGACAAAGCCGATGACAACATAACTTGATTCACACAACCCAATAATAATAATAATAATAATAATAATAATAATAATAATAACTGGCCGTGTCTCTACCTTGACATATATGGCGGCAAGGGAACACGGTAGGCATGGTGGGCGTACACATCGGTACCATGGTGCTACAGAGGAAGAACAGACCATGTTCACTGCACTGTTCAGCCAGGGCCTTCATCTCCGTCCAACTACTGGCTACCACCAGATACTCCTGCAGGGAGGCCGCGGCCGCTGTGGCGTTGTACGGTAATATGGCGGCACACTCTGGGATTGTCAACGGGTTGCACTGGATTCTGGAACACAGGATATATGTGTATTTACAGGGTTCTGTAGCCATTTGAAGCTCACAAATCCACAGTTAGAGACAACGCGACATGGATCGTGTCAATCTCGCATCTATGGAGTTCAGTAAGTGGCGAAACAGACACATTTTTGGGGCTCAAAACTCTGTAGTAAAAGACGAACGTGGCATAGGCCTTGTCAATTCCGCTGCTATAGGGCTTAATCACATATATATGAAATAGACCCCATTTCCAGAGATAAGATCGATCTACTTTAGATCGACCTAACTCCCTGGGGGTTCCCGCTAAATAGCTGTCAGCCGAGCGGACACGAAAGTTAATTACCCTCTTACAGCTTGTAGTAGGCGGGACGGACATTTAAGCCGGATTATCTGACAGTAATCAAGTGAGACTCCCCGCGGGGATAGATCGATCTTAAAGCTCTGGGAATACAGCCACAGACACGGTGCATGTCGCTTTCGCATGTTAAGGGGTCTAAAAGACGCACGCTTAGGTTCCTATGGGCCATGGTACAAATCATCCTAGATTTCGCCCCTGTAAGCACCAGTATTTTCTTGTAATGCTTGGAATTACACGTAGGACGATATCAAGGCAGAAGTAGAGCCGCTCTGCACCACGCATGTCGGAGTTCTAATAAGAGCCCAAAGACGATTCAGTTTAAAAGAAGAGTCACGTTTCGTGTTTACATTGTGTATATCTATACTTGATCGTGGTAAAATGCTGCCATGTATCGGCTACTTTACAGATTGGACAATATCTAATTCCTTTCGGGGCACTGCTTCCCTGATGGCACGACCCATAACTTGGCGTTAATGAGAGACGATAACTTAAGTGTAAGTGATTCTGATAGTTTTTAACGAAACGTAGGCCTAATTCTGCTCTAAACAAGCCGTACATGAGCAAAATCTATAGACATATATTTTGAAGGCTCCACCTACCCGGGAAGCTGTGAGCCGCCCCCTGCTGTGCCGCCTCTTCCTGCTGTAAAACGATATCAAATTTTATGTTATTACGATATACATGAAGAAATGTGTAATGATATTAATGTTTGGAAGTGTGTGTGTTTGGGTGAAAGAGAGAGAGAGAGAGAGAGAATGCATATACTGAATAAAAAGAAATTTTACGTAAAGTAAATTTATCCTATCTAAAATTTGTGACACATTTGCTTTGAACACTTACCTGAAAAGAAAAAAATTACATGTCATGATAATTTAATTGTCTAACAGGACTTTGTCCATTACCACAAAACGTAGCGTCCTCGTCAGAACCGTCACTACAGTCCACAGAGCCGTCACATAGCCACGCCTCCTGTATACACGACTCTCTCGCTGGGAGGCGCCACCTGCTGAACCCGCCTTTGCTGCAAGGGACCTGATGGCCGCTACACTGGCCTAAAATGATTGAGGTTTTATTTCAATATGTAAGTGTATTGTTGAAATAAGACCGTATATACCTACATTGTACAACTGGAAATGTATCATTCGGTTTAACATGTAAAGGTTTTGTTTGAAAAACGTGACTTGCGCGATTGAAACCCATATATATTCCAATTTGTTGAACATTTCATTATTGTGTGTCAATTTTTTTTGCTGTACTCAACTGTAAATCAATGAGTTGATCCTGCTGGGATTTATTTTAACGCGAGCCAGTTAATTTTTTTTTTTGAAGAGTAATCATTTGTAATTATCAAAGATATAAAACAGAAATTCGTTTAGAAACCGTTCTTACTTTGTTCAGTACAATTGTACTCATCCGAGAAGTCGCCGCAGTCGTTCTCGCCGTCACAGGCCCATGCTTTATTCCTACACAGACCGTTATCACAGCGCACCTGTGTCGGGTTGCATGTGTCACACGAAATCTCGTCACTGGCGTCGCCACAGTCGTCGCTCCCATCACACTCCCAAACCAAAGGCAGGCAGTTGCCATTGCTGCACTCAAACTGCCCCTCGATGCATTCGTAGTTGGCTAAAAAACACGTTATCAACTCTTTGATTATTGTGTAGTTAAGTTTATGGGCATTTAACATTTAAAGAATTTAATGCACACCCAGGCTGCTCATTAATGCGGGCACCAACAAAACTAACAAGTTATCACCGCCTTCAAGTGCCCATTGAACCAATACCAGTCTTCTTATATCGCATTGGAAGCTTCACAGATGATATGGAATAAGACGTAAAGCATCTAGCATCATTTCTACACGGACGCGAAAACGAGGCTATCTTCAATAACCACTATTACCCCAGCGCCCTCTTTAGGACAAACGGCTCCGCGTATAGCCCCATTGCACATTTTAATGTGAATCTCAATGCCCTTGTTAAGAATAATATATCTATTTGATTTGAATAGATAATATAAGTGTGAATGTATGTTGGAGTGAGATATCTAAATTTGGATAATTAATGGTATTTTGTCCTAGCAAACCCTGTCGTCAGCTGGTGTTATAAATTCAAAGTGACAATTTTTTTCAACAACTGCATTTGCTCTTCACGATCTCAGTCATGGTGGATATCCTAAATATCGTCATAGTGGATATCCTAAATATCAAAATACAATTAATTCTTAATCTGGATGTTATATTAAGAAACTATTATTGTCATCTCCAGGCTATAACTCCACTTACTGCATTGGCTCTCGTCCTGAAAATTACTGCAATCGTTGAAATTGTCACATTTGTCGATCAGGTCGTAGCATTCACCGTTCCCACAATGCAGTTGGCCTGGGCTGCAAGCTTCATTGAGAAATAACAGAGTACATCATCACTACTATTAGTAGAAGTATTATTAATTATTTCTATCAAACGAGCAAACAACAAAAAGAACTTAGCGTGTGATTATATATTAGAAAACAATTATACAAAGCGTTTAAAAATTAGAACACAAATTAAGACACGGGCAACCGAGGATTTTTTCTAGGGTCGCGATATTATTTTTCAGAATTGTCAATGAATCACATTTCAACATGCAGTACAACTTGAGGACGGCGTTACAGCTAAGCCATAACTTATTGTGCATCTCTTCCCCAATACGACAGTTTTCAGAAATTCCCAATTGGGAAATTTGAATTTGAGATAAGAGTCAATACTTACTTGGCGGAACGCAGACTGAGGGGTCGGTTCCTCCTGGTAGCTGGTCACACGTGACCGGAAGTTGAATGTTAAATCTTTGTAACTCTGCAGCGCAATCTGTGGTAACCTCTGGATTGGAGAAAATTTACGAAATGAAATTGAATATATATTTACCACATGGTTATCATAAGTAAAGTCTACATCCATTTCTGGACTCAATACTACATGGCTGTTTGATGAGAACATTTTAACACAATTTAACATATCTATATTTTATTATTTTGAATATATTAAAAACAACTTGACAAATATTTTAACTACGGTCAAAAATCCACAAAAAGGAAAACACGTTCCAAAAACAAAGAAAAAAAGTAGATTTTCAGTGGTTCGTTGTTTGCATATTAAAACTTCTTCACAAATGAAAAAAGTACCTATATCTTAGATAGATAAATCCTGCAAATATCTCAAGCTTACTGGATTTCGAATCCCCTACCAGAGTATGGAGGCCTTATTTTTAAATCCGAAACTGAAATGGGCATGTAATTTCTTACCTTCACAGAGCTGTCTACAGGGCGGGATTCTCTTGACGACATCAGCGCCACCACACTTAGGAGCCAGTAAGGCGCATGCGTATAATCTGGCATCCGGTGAGCAAGTTATGTTCATCCGTTTGATATCTTGCACGAGAAGTGACGCGGACATTTCAGACTGAAATCGGGAATGAGGCCGTTAAGCACTCGATGTTAAACGCAAAGCGCGTTCACAATATGTATATTTGCTCGTGTGCGCAGTAATATGATGCATTTTGACAGAAAATAAGAAATATTGATGAAACATTGAAACCTGCAATTTTTTAATTGAAATGTGCTGGTTCCTCCTGATATGACATTAATTATCGTTATTTAACATTTAATTATATCTTTAAATTATACACATTAAAATATGTAAAAAGTGATGACTACACATATGTAATTTGGCGAAAACTGTTGTGTGATTTAAAGTACACTCATTTAAGTTCAGAATGAATTAGGCAGCTTTTACTCGCACCAGCAAATATATATATATATATTGTAGACAATATAATATTATAAGTGATTGCTTTCTCTTTATATCCTGAACCAATCATTTCACACCTTTTTTGTTCACTGAATGATAAAATGTTGCATAGTATAAACAACTGTACCTGTCGAGTGTTTCCAGCGAAATTAGGGAAGGTAGTGTAGCCATACAGACCATAGCAGAGTGGTTCCGCTATGCTCTCACACTGATAACCGGCTGTCGTCAGTACTGGCGGGTTAGTTGTAGTGCTGGCAGTGCTTGGAGGAGCGGTGGCCGGGGCTGAAGGACTCTGGACTGAAGTATCGTGGGTTACTGAACCAGGAGCCGACGTTGTTCCTTGAAAAATTAATAAAAATGATGTAAACTCATAATAACAGCTGCAAAGAGTTTCAAAACATCAACCATATAGCCCCATGCACCGTAATCCCTGACCTTTAAATTTAATAATTTTATCATCTGCTACAAGTCTCTACATATGTGAAGGGCTTATAATCGTTTGTTTGATTAATTATGTTTTCAGCTGCAATGTGCAGTATAATGTGTCAAAATGCCACTGCATAGGCAGAACCATGGGATGTCCTTTTTGTTAAAATAATATAGCGGATTCAGCCGCCCCTCCCTTAAAGTGTAAGTGTGTAAGTGGGGAGGGGGGGTTGATTGAATAACCCCTTATCTTTGAAATTGTGTAGTAATGTTTTATGCCCGGCTGCCTTATGTTATTGCCAAAGTTTTGAAGGTGTCCCACGCCTCATATTAACAATAATAATAATAATATTAATAATAATATTAATAATAATTTTTTTTGTTAGCACATTTTTATAAAAGGCTGTGGTGCCTTCCCAACTTACCTTCTTGAAGCTTTAAACTATCCGGATCAATTTCGAAGACGCCGAAGCTGGTTTTCCCGTCTGTCGTTGTGACGGCTTCTTCTAGAACTTTGAACACGTCACCAATAGATTTCCCGCCCCCGCCACCAGGTGTCTCTGATGTCGATATGTCCTTGTGGAATATTAATGTGAAGTCAATCTTCACACTACCCTCACTGACATGTAAATAAAACATTATTTTTGTCTATCAAAAGTTTGTCATTATATACAAGTATGCTGTCGTTGTTGAAAAAGAAAAAGCCTGTTTGATTCTTCTTTTTCGTACAAGTCTCTCTTTCATAAAGATGCAGATATTCGCACCTTGATGTCTATAACGAGTTCTATTTAAAAATCATTTTAGAAAGGTGGCAGAATTTAAATGGAAGAAAACAAATGAAAAAGTTAAGATCAGTTTTTCTATGCCACATTACATATATATGCGTCTCAATGCAGTTTACAATGGACCCTTACTCAATTTTGGCAACGATATAGACAGGGCATTGACGCTTTAGTCTCCCTGGAGAGGATACAGTGTCTGAAAACTGAATCTTCATTTCTTTTTCTTTCTTTCTTTCCTTTTTTTTTTTTTTTTTTTTGGAAGAAAGTAACTATCGTGTGGATTTAGTAAAACAATGTTATGTACGGTGCAACTTCTTGTCAAGGAGATTTAAAATCCGCTAATTAATCCGGATCTTTTTGACGACATTTTTGTCTTATAATTAGTTCTTTCTCCCGGAAAACTGATGATTTCAGTTGAGAACCTGCCAACCAATGCAAACAGTCTGAAGGCTTAAACATACAAATTGAAACATTACATATACATACCTGAAACCATTAACTACCGATCTGTCGAATGACGTCACGAACTCACTGTTTTTCATGACGTTATCAATCTAGAATGTGACGTGTTAAGACATGACGAATTTGGTCAGTGGTGGGGGGGGGCGAGTTTGATTAATTATGTTTGTAAAGGTAATGCACTGCCACTGTGAATTTCAGCTAACATGTAACAAATCAATCAATAGTGATATTACTTGCTTTATGATACATTTTTCATATAAAATTCATTCTTTAGATATGGAAATGCGTCTGCACTTTAAAGGTTTACACTAAAGAAGATTTGACGTTGTCTTAACCTAAATGACAGTATTCATGATAACATTAGACTTAAGGAATTCAGCTGATAAAAATGTTCCAAGGAGATTACGTAAAGCTGTTGATGTCTACGTCTAAAACGTGTAATACACTTGGCTTTTTTACCTCTGTCTCGAAAACACCGGAATAAGCTCTATACCGCTGTGAGTCAGTATCTTCTAAGTCACTGGTATACGTGCCATACTCGCCTCCAACAACCTTCATACTTCCCGCAACTTCTCGCGTAGTACGAGACTGGGTTGAAGCCGATTTCGAGGCTTCGTCCTTTTTGCCTCCCCCAGCTGAATTTACCAAATAGAAATAATCTTAAAAATACGTAGAATAATTATTTTCTCCAACTTGCATTTATATCGATCACTTACTGGTATTGAGGTAGAGATCAGATAAAGACCACAAACAGGTTTTAAAACAAGATTACAGATAATTACTTAATTCAAGATTGGGTTGTTATTACTGAATAATTCTATTTCTATTTTTATTTCTCTCTCTCTCTCTCTCTCTCTCTCTCTCTCTCTCTCTCTTTTGCGAGAAACCTGCAGGGTAGTTTAGAAATGGGATGATATGTACTGGATACTCACATGACATGAAGGCAATAACCCCTATGATAGCAACGACGACAAGTACCCCAACGACCAAAATGGCGACCAGCATCAATTTTCGTTTTCTTGGCTGTGCGTCTGATTTGGCAGATTTTCCGTAGGCAGCTTTGAAACTCTCTCCCCTTTCGACAAATATAGGACTAGGCAAAGAAGTTTCCGTGACCTCGTTACTTTTCTCAAGGTCATTCGAATCGGTGTCTTCCGCCAGTTCAAAGCCGGGGTTGTCATAATGCTGGATCTGGAAGTTGACAAAAAATGGACTTTATTTGTGAAACTTACATGTAAAGGTATTTTTCGCTGGATGTTTTTCGCCAAAATGAATTATTTTTGGGGGAGAAAGAACACTTTTCTGGGCCTAGAAGTTGTTAAAAACAGACCCACGTCATGTGACTTGGGACTGGATTCGCACTCGAGAAAACCTCCATAACAATGATAAACAAGCATGCTTTGAAAAGGGAAATTTATATGTATGATTTATTTATTTATTTATCTATATTACCACCTTTTAAAGATGAATGAAAAAATAGTAAGGATGGGATTGGATAAAATGAAATGAATAAAAATTACACTATGTATGTAGAAGACTGTTAAAAAGATTTTACAAGTAGTTCCACAAGCATGTACCTGTATTCCTTAGATTTCTGAGAATTACATCAAGACTTTTAAGTTAAAACTCTAAAGAAACATTTACAATAATACAAACTGAAATAAAGAATGGAATCACAAAATTTCCATCACTCGACAAAGGTTGAAATAATAAATGTTGCATCACTACATATATTCTAAACCTGTATCGTCACCCTGTAAGTATCCAATAATTAGGGCTAAAAGAAGACAATATTTCCCGGGTTTCTCACCTCAAAAGACAGAAGTCCTGTTGCTTGTCATATTATGATTTCAAAGTACAGTAAAAACAAAACAAGGCAAAAAATGTGAGAATCATTTCATTTATTTATTACCTTGGTCTCTTGAGGACCATCAGTCTAGTACTGGTACAAATGTTACAACGACTGAAGTTACAACAACTATAGGGTTATTACAAAGAATAATTATAATAGTAATAATCGCAATCATATTCATCATAACAATAATAATAGTACCTGTAGTAAATTAAATACATGAGTACTTAAATAAATAAACTACTTAAATAAATCAAATTAAATCAAATTGAATCAAATGAGATCAAATTGGATCAAATTAGATTAGATCTCATGCCGAAGCCTTCCTGCTTGGCTAAGATATCGTGCCAGGTTACATAATACTTTCTTACTGGAAGAATTCAGCAGGAGAACCAATTTGAAACCGAAGGTCTATTACAGTAGAAAGGTTTGATGAACCTTTTTCTTAAATCTAAATATCTAGAGCAACCCAGTATAAAGTGGAATTCGTGCTCCACATCATTGCAGTAGGTACATTTTCTTTGTGTAATAGGGATTTTACTGTATCTGCCCGTTTCAATTGCAAGTTTATGGGATGATAATCTTATTTTACTAATCATTTTCTTAAACTGGAGCGGGATTGGTTTTGTAAGATAAGAATAATCAATATTTAACAACATAAGTAAAATATGTAAATGTGAACAATTCACAAACTCTGTACAGCCATTTTTCAAAAGACTACTCTTGAAGACGTAAGCTTTGTTCGTTATTCAATCAAACACCGCTTAAGTTTTTAGTAGGCTTGTTTAAAGTGTCACGGCTGAAACAAAGCGTTCACGTCGAGGGCTTGGGCTTTAATGTGCTTTAATGTAATAAAATCGATTAAGATGCTAACGGCCGCACAAACTTTTCTAGGAAAATGCTTTAAATTATTAAAATTAAGAAAATAATGAAAAAAAGTTCCCTTTTTGTTAAGATTACTAGTTTGCAAAAGAAATAAATAATAATAGGTAAAATCTAAGGGCTACTTTTCCGTAATTTGAGCCATTATTACTTCACTGCGAGCGTTCAGGATGCAGCGCCGCTTTACGTTAAACACCTCTTAAGTTAATTGTAGGTGACAATAACAATGGCTTTAAGAGGATGTCCGGAAATCAATGTCAATAAATGGTGCAATTATGTCCTGTTCGACTTTAAATTCACCTGCAAGCGCTCAGGTAAGTGCTGAGTAAGAAGAGTGGTTTCTTGCAGAAAGGGCGGATGTTGGCGGTCTATAAAGCGTAGTGTACCTGGTTTTCCATCTTTAAGGACACAACTGTGAGGGTTAGGTAATTACTTTACCTAAAACGCAGACTTAAATGACGTATCACCGTATGCATTGATCTAAAATAATACACAAAATACTGCATGGAATGAGATTTCACACTTACGCATATGCCAGAGATTGTTAAATAGTTGTGTAGCAAAAAAGAAAGAAAAAGCAGAAAACTTGTGTCCTCAGTAAGAGAGATATTCAATTTTCAGTGTGAAAGTTACTTTCTAAACTGTCCAAATTTCAAAAAGTTATGAAGAAGGTTAATGAAAAAAATGGAATTCTTTAATTCCCTCAACTCGGTCAGAATATAGGTTACGTTTAAAAAAGACTAAAATACGGAAATAACTATGAATAAATATGAGAAAAAGGACAAACCACTACTGAGTCAATTTCAAACTTGAATTTTACATATATATTTTATATATTTTATATATAAATACAGGAAGGTATACAATGTTAGTACAGACAGACCGGCTATAGAAAGCCTGACATATCTGTAAAAATTTGAAGGCTGGATTTTCTGTTACCCGGACCCTTAGTTTCGTTACACCAGTTAAACAGAATAAAAAGAGAAATTTTATAATAACACGGGTCGTCAAATAAATGAACTGTTTCATTGGAATAAACTGTGGGAAAATTTAAGACAACTGGCAAAATTTATTGCCACAGAAGATAAAGATAGACGACAACAATGTTTGTACATGATTTTAGAATGTTTTATAAGCCCGAAGGGCTGGGTGTTTTTCTAAGCACGAATTGTTAAACACATAATAAACGAATGGATGCAATATTTTGAAAATTCATTTTTCTAAAAGTGACCTTTAGGAACATGAATCCATTCCACATGAATTTTTACCTTTCTGATGTTAATACAGTTTTTAAGCGTGATTCAAGGCTACATTATTATACTTATTATAATCACCGTTTTTTTTTTAACCCCCTCCCCCCTCCACACGCACGCATGCAGGCATATTTTGTTATGAAATGCACATTGTTAAATGTTGCCCGCGGGCGACAAATTCTCGAAATTAAGGTATCTTGAAGTGGGGCGTTCCTTAATGCACCGTATTACTCACTTCCCGGCTTGACTTCAGCCCTACACTGCCAGAGGCGGGGACAATATATACACTGTACATGTACAAACAGTATAGAGCAATAATTGTCAAAATCGGGAGAAGCTATGAATAGCCAGCCCCTAACCTCCCCGTGAACTATTTATAAATAACGAGTTTTGGGACTGGACTCAACACTTATCAACTTAAACCTAGTTTTTTCTGTTAATTAAGGGCATATTGAAAACATCCATATAAACCATATGATATATAAATCAATTCTTTACAAGTTAAAAGACTACTTCATTCAACAGGGTCATCTTTTATCTGTTGTTATTTATTTAGTGCATTCTACGTATTATCAGTTATCTCAGTCAAATATTACGTGAAATATCTTAAGAATGACAAAGTCTTATGAGTAATTTCACACCTAGCAGACAGGTTAAATTAAGGCGACAGTGGCCAGTGTCAAGTACATTCATTGACTAGGTATCTGACCGCACTATTGTCAATACACAATACATCCGTCACAGTCACACACTGACTAACTGATAGGGTGCTTGATATTGTAATGAATAAATGGAGTGGGTAGGTACAGGTACTGTAATAACTGGGATAGAGTTCGTGGTGGGGATTTACAAAGACTTGACAATCAATTCACATTCAAAGTCTTTCCATTTCACTTTATGTTATACTGGAAAGCGCTGACAACAAGCGACAGTTAACGATCTTTTCTCTGCTTATTGACAAAATATGAGTAAATGTAAAAAATAAACAACAAGAATCGCTTTTTAAATGTTTCCAGGCTATAAATACATGTCTAAAGACGACATGACTGGGAGTAGCAGAGAGCAGCAAAGTACATGTATCACAAACAAACTCGTGAATACAAAAATATCGACAGCAGGACTAAAAACAATTGCCGTATGTGATGTGGACACTTGTTATACATCAGGGCAGAGAGTGAAAAATCACCCTCGTCTTTACTTCTTACTTAAGGTAGATCCTGTAATAATGACGATACCCCCCCTNTAACTATAACAATGATAAACAAGCATGCTTTGAAAAGGGAAATTTATATGTATGATTTATTTATTTATTTATCTATATTACCACCTTTTAAAGATGAATGAAAAAATAGTAAGAATGTATTGGATAAATGAAATGAATAAAATTACACTTTGTATGTAGAAGACTGTTAAAAAGATTTTACAAGTAGTTCCACAAGCATGTACCTGTATTCCTTAGATTTCTGAGAATTACATCAAGACTTTTAAGTTAAAACTCTAAAGAAACATTCTCAATAATACAAACTGAAACAAAGAATGGAATCACAAAATTTCCATCACTCGACAAAGGTTGAAATAATAAATGTTGCGTCACTACATATATTCTAAACCTGTATCGTCACCCTGTAAGTATCCATTAATTAGGGCTAAAAGAAGACAATATTTCCCAGGTTTCTCACCTCAAAAGACAGAAGTCCTGTTGCTTGTCATATTATGATTTCAAAGTACAGTAAAAACAAAACAAGGCAAAAACTGAAAATAATGAAGGAAAGTTCCCTTTTTGTAAAGATCACTAGTTAACAAAAGAAATAAATAATAAAAGATCTACTCATAGGGCTACTTTCCCGTAATTTGAGCCATTATTACTTCAGCGGCGCTTTACGCTTTACACCTCTTAAGTTAATTGCAGGTGACAATAACAATGGCTTAAGGAGGATGTCCGGAAACCAATGTCAATAAATGGTGCAATTATGTCCTTTTTGACTTTAAATCCACCTGCAAGCGCTCAGGTGAGTGCTGAGTAAGAAGAGTGCTTTCTATACAGAAAGGGCGGATGTTGGCGGTCTATAAAGCGTATTGTACCTGGTTTTCCATTTTTAAAGACACAACTGTGAGGGTTAATTACATAACGTAAAACGCACATGAAGTATATCAGTATGTAGTGATCTAAAATAATACATAAAATACTGCATGTATTGAGATTTCACACTTACGCATATGTCAGAGATTGTTGAATAGTTGTGTAGCGAAAAAGAAAAAAAAGCAGAAAACTGGTGTCCTCATTTAGAGAGATTTTCATTTTTTGTGTGAAAGTTACTTTCTAAACTGTCCAAATGTTGACAAACGTCAAAAAGTTATGAAGAAATTTAATGAAAAAATGGAATTCTCTAATCCCCTCGACTCAGCCAGAATATAGGTTACGTTTAAAAAGGACTAAAACGCGGAAATATCTATGAATAGATATGAGGAAAAAAGGACAAACCACTACTGAGTCAATTCCGAACTTGAATTTTACCGTTATACGTAAAAACAGAAAGGTATACAATGTCAGTACAGATAGACCGGTTATCGAAACATTAAAAAATGTATAGAAGACGGCTCACTGGCTACACAGAAAAAAGATAAATTGTATAATAACACGGGCCCACAAATAAATGATGAACTGTTCCACTTGAATAAATTGTGGCAAAAATTTTAGACGACTGGCAAAATTTATTGCCACAGTAGATAAAGATGGACGACAACAATGTTTGTACATGAACTTAAAATGTTTTATAAGCCCGAAGGGCTGGGTGTTTTTCTAAGCACGAATTGTAAAACACGAGAACATAACAAACGATTGGATGTAATCTTTTGAAAATGCTTCTTTCTAAAAGTGACCTTTAGGAACATGAATCCATTCCACATGAATTTTTACCTTCCTGATGTTAATATAGTTTTTAAGCGTGATTCAAGGCTAGCTTATTATACTTATTATAACCTCCATTTCTTTTTAACCCCCCCCCCTCCCCCCTCCACACGCACGCATGCAGGCATATTTTGTTATGAAATGCACATTGTTACATGTTGCCCGCGGGCGACAAATTCTCGAAATTAAGGTATCTTGAAGTGGGGCGTTCCTTAATGCACCGTATTACTCACTTCCCGGCTTGACTGCAGCCCTACACTGCCAGAGGCGGGGAAAATATATACACTGTACATGTACAAACAGTATAGAGCAATAATTGTCAAAATCGGGCGAAACTATGAATAGCCAGCCCCTAACCTCCCCGTGAACTATTTATAAATAACGAGTTTTGGGACTGGACTCAACACTTATCAACTTAAACCTAATTTTTTCTGTTAATTAAGGGCATATTGAAAACATCCATATAAACCGTATGATATATAAATCAATTCTTTACAAGTTAAAAGACTACTTCATTCAACAGGGTCATCTTTTATCTGTTGTTATTTATTTAGTGCATTCTACGTATTATCAGTTATCTCAGTCAAATATTACGTGAAATATCTTAAGAATGACAAAGTCTTATGAGTAATTTCACACCTAGCAGACAGGTTAAATTAAGGCGACAGTCGCCAATGTCAAGTACATTCATTGACTAGGTATCTGACCGCACTATTGTCAATACACACAATACATCCGTCACAGACACACACTGACTAACTGATAGGGTGCTTGATATTGTAATGAATAAATGGAGTGGGTAGGTACAGGTACTGTAATAACTAGAATAGAGTTCGTGGTGGGGATTTACAAAGACTTGACAATCAATTCACATTCAAAGTCTTTCCATTTCACTTTATGTTATACTGGAAAGCGCTGACAACAAGCGACAGTTAACGATCTTTTCTCTGCTTATTGACAAAATATGAGTAAGTGTAAAAAATAAACAACAAGAATCGCTTTTTAAATGTTTCCAGGCTATAAATACATGTCTAAAGACGACATGACTGGGAGTAGCAGAGAGCAGCAAAGTACATGTATCACAAACAAACTCGTGAATACAAAAATATCGACAGCAGGACTAAAAACAATTGCCGTATGTGATGTGGACACTTGTTATACATCACGGCAGAGAGTGAAAAATCACCCTCGTCTTTACTTCTTACTTAAGGTAGATCCTGTAATAATGACGACACCCCCCCTCTCTTTTCCACTGTTGTCTTTTTTCTGTCGCAAAATGTCAAATGATTAGAAATTTGTCAAAACGTCATACACCAGTGGAGCAATTGTCCGTAAATTTCTCAAGACACGGTGATCATGCAAGAAAAAGTGTAGGATTTCTAGGGCTGAACAGACAACGAGTTTGCTTTAATCCAAACTAGTTCACTGTGGGCATCCTCTACCAGGGAGACAGATAGGTTAAATTTCACAAGATATTCACAGATATTTCTTTAGATAAATAGACAGTCATTTGATTATCTGCTTTTTTAAAAATGTCCTATAATATCTGCCATCCTGGTAGAGGGTACACTGTGGTTGTAATAATAAGTGATGTGTAGACGTATTGCAAATTGACACTCATACAACCTCCGACACAGTAAAATATTTGATGACATGATCAACTTTGTGTACAACATTCGTTGACAACTCACCTCTTTTTTCTCAGGTCCATGTGGCTTGCCATTTCTGTGTCGGGTCTCCATATTCAGACCAGTAGATCTTCCTCCCTAGTTTAATAAGTTAACAAACAGCGTATTCCCGTCTTGATGAGGCGTTTTACAGTCCCCTCTGTATCGGGCTAGCGGGACAGGCTCGGACACTATATTACAAAAAAGAAAAAAAGTCACGACATATGGCGGCCAGCGGTGACATTATAGTAGGCTACTGTCATAACGGCTTTGTGTCCACACCTCCTTTGTGGATAGAATTACTTGGTTGAATGTGTTCAATGGACTTAAAGGTGTCTGACAATCACTGCAATACTGAGGGATTCATGTGATTCACAGGTATTTACGTTACATACTGGGAGCATTTTATTTACATACATACACACATGTAGATATGCTCTTCCTATTTCACTCTTCATCTTAGTCTTAATTATGCAAATAAAAGAAAACTTTATAGATATAAATACGCAATCTGCTAGGCATAATATAATGCAAATGTTTTCTATCACGTATTACCCTCTTCAGCATGCCCCCCACCCCCCACCCCCCTCACCCCGCCGCGGACTATACTCCCTTGTGTAGCACGGAACGTTTCGCACACATCAAAGTTAACGTCAACTTCACATTTTTCTGTACCTTGTTCCTCTTTTCAAACGCCAAGAGTTCTCACAAAAAGGATAAGAAAATGAGATTTTTCTTTCTAACATTTGTATGAACCCTACCTCCAGTTGTTTTCCAGATTATTTTTCTCTCACAATTTCCACTAGCAGTACACCATGCTAACTGATCAACTATTCCACAGCGAAATTCACCCGACGTGCAACCTCTGAGCCACACAAATGATACAAGGCTGTCAAAAGGCGAGAATGACGCTTTGTTACGTACAGATTACTAACTTAACGCAGCACGTGTAGCTGTGAAGGTGTGAAATTGACTGGGCGGAGGTATTTTAATTGCAGGTGGCTTGCACATAATAAAGGATTTCACTTCGGGTCTATTAACGGACAAAATCCATTCATATCACCTTAGAATACCGAGGTGATTAACTGCTGCTCTTCGGGACGATTACTTTTACGCGAATCAACGAAATCAAGAAGAAAAAAGTATAAGCAACCAAAAGCAAAGTAAACAAAATATCTGAGATAACGGGACAAACGATTATCTCGTAAAGCTTATACAATAAACAAATATGCATTATTATTATTATTATTATTATTATTATTATTTCACCATGACCAGCGGTTACGATCCTTGCTCATTCTTTCACAACTCCGTATTTCATGGTTATTTCAGGTAATTAGAACTTTACCAACGGGCGGCTAGATGATCTCAGATTAGCCAAATAAAAGTTACTTGGGATTAACGGGTTCTCAGGTAATTATAGAGATTATGTATACAGAGGTTTATTGGGTCAGTTTTACGATTTAGGTGGTATGGACCGTAACTTGTATTGGAGGTTAGTCAAATGTTTATTTACTGGCTTCCCCTGATAAGAGACCGAAATCACAGTCTGCTAAGTTCAGTGGTGTGAAACCGTCTCAGGTTGTCTGGAAATACAACTCCACTGAGTCGGCTAAGTATGAAATCGTCTCAGCCTGGTTGGAAATACACCTTCACAGTTTGCCCGAGTATAGAGCCTTATTTCGGTGCATGGAGCAATGTATTAACTTGTACATTCAGGCCCGTAGCCAACTATTTCAGAGGGGGGGGGGTTTCGTTTTCTGAAAAAGGTGGACCTTTTACCACAAAATCCTCAAGTACATAGATCAAATTTTACCCAGAGTGGACCTTTTCCAAGCAAAAAGGGTGGTTCTTTCGAACCCCCCGAACCCCCCCCCCCCTTCCGGCTACGGGCCTGACATTGAAGCAACTTCCTGGTGTACTTTATAACCTTGGGTTTAGATCGACACATTGATTTCTGTGAAAAGTTTATATTCTGGATATAGATTGATATAATACTTCAGCCTTCTGGTAACTTCAACCTTTAATTAGTTGTTTCAAATAAATTTTTGAAAAATAATATCTGGCTCTGTGAGAGGTTTATATTCTGGCTTTAGATCCAAATATTGGACACTTTGATATTACAATTCGAGAGGACAAAAATTAATAATGACATAGAGAAAAATTTTACAAAAAGAAAGAAAATAAAACAGAAGGAAATAAAATGATATGAAATAAGATATACTCATCAGATTATAGCCGACACAGTTACATCACCTAGTAGCATCACTCGACTTACTTCCTGAAAATTTAATGTTTTGAGGATATCTTATTGATCATAATATGTAATTGTTGTCCTTGGTCATTTTATCAAAATAATCAAACAAGCAATGCCGAGTTCACAATTTTGTTTTTCGTTGACCATCAGATTCGCCTTCCTTTAAGCAAGGGTGAGACACTGCTGTGAATGGCCTCTTTACTTTTAAGAAAATCTTTAAATATTAATATTGGTATTGGGTATGTACAAGTAAAAACTGTGTCGCAATTCCCGATGCCAATATGTGATTTTTTTCGAGAAAGATTTTACAGAAGAAACTTATTTTTCAAACATTTATTTTAACTTTTAGATTTATTTGTTATAGTCCAGCGTGGTCAGATATCGTAGTACGTCGTAGTCAATCATAAAGAAAGAGATGGCTACTGATTCACAGCGTTGAATTAGAAGATCATTAGACTTCAACAGAAGACATCGAGATGGAAGTTGGCCAAATTTCTCCATCTAGTATTCTCTGGTGAAACTGAGAAATGTCCCTACATTTGGTTTTAGGTAGAATGTAACCCCCGCCTGTTCTACTTCCCGAGCCTAGGCCTAAATTAATGAGGCTGCAGTTCCACTCTAGTACTATAGTGCGAATTCTACCGGTCCTCAAACATGATGTCTGGTTTTTCCGTCTACATAAATTTATTACCAGTCAAGAAGGAAAACGTCAGTGTGTGATTTCACCCTTTTGAGGGTGTTGAATGAATGAACACAAACAAGGACAGATTACAAACGAGAAGCAAAGGATTATGAATATAACTCACCTTTGTTGCTTACGAAGGATCAGGCGAAATAATCTCCCAGTTTTCTTTATCCAAATTAGTACAGCAAGATTTAAAAAAATCACAAAACCCGTCCAAGCGGCGTCTGTCTTCTCCGCGATGGTGAAATTTCAGTCACAAATCCTTTCTTACATTTCGCCAAGTAAAATGTTATCAGTGTGAAGCCGCCTTCTCGCCTCGGGGTGGTATGTCCAAGGCGTTGGTGAGACGCAATAAATCTCCCCTCTCATCAACAAAGAGTTTTTCCCGAAAATCATGTGATCACCTCTAGTCTTGGGATGACTGGTCCCGTTCCGCTTTGCTGGTTTCCATACATTGTTTTAGCTTCGTGGTGGTGACGGGAGGCTATGTGATAGGTTAAGTGTGGTTTTCACTGACGGTTTATCGTATTTTATTCTTTTAAAATTACCGATGAAAAATATTCGCTTCTGTTGCTGTCATATCATATTCATGTCCACATCTTCAGGCCCCTCTTTGTTCAGACATGCTGGCTGTTTCTATAATAATACACTGCAGGGGCGGATCCAGGATTATTCGAAGGGGGGGGGGTCCGCTGAAGCAAAGCCGACCCCCCCCCCCTGGCGTGGGGTTCGGGGCCCGCTGGAGGACACCGGAAATTTTTGGTATTTTAGAGAAAGAACGGTGCCATTTGTTCCGGTTTAGAACTTTGATTCAGCTAGCCAAATTCTTATTTCAAGAGGGGAATTTTAGTGTGATTTTTTCTCAGAAATCGAATGAGGGGTCCGGACCCCCCTGACACCCGGTCCCCCGCCTTAAATCCGACCCCGCATTGTATTCTATTCCTGGATCAGAACACTACCCCCACTATTCTTTTAAGAATACTTTTCTTTAAAAAGGAGAAAACAGACTCATCGGATTTGTAAATAGTCAAATTGAAATATAATCATTGTTTAAATCCCTATTTTTTGTGTAAACTATATGGTCAGCAGGATTGGTAAATAAGGATCTGAGCAATTAATATCTATTTTACTATAACTATCCTTATACAAGTTTCTGTATAATTTAGTTCTTAATAAACATGCAGAGTTGTACCCCCCCCCCCCCGTTCACCCCCTTGCTTCACTCAATCTTGTCTTTCGACCATTATGGCATGCTCGGCTGTTTTTAGAAAAAATCAATCTAAATACGTTTTGAAGTATAGTCCTTGTTATAGGCGTATACACTGTGCTTAAATTTTGAATTAAATTGCTTTGCATTCTTTTTCCCTAAAAAGCGTTCTGTATTTTGAATAAATTAAGTGGTGAAATGTACAGCGTCTCTTCAAAGAAACTTAGGCTTCGTTCACATGGAATGTCTATTTTCTAAAAATCTATTTTCTATTTTCGGTATCTTATGATCACGGTCTGTGCCCTGAATATCCCGCCGCGTAATTACTGGCAGCGCGAGCCAGTTACTATAAGTTACTGCCAGTAATCTAAACACATAAATCGTGTCTTATAAAGTTTCTTTTTTTAACAGGAGATGTAGAATTAACACTTATTTTCATTGCTGTCCTTCAGCTTTAAGAAAATCCAAAGTTTAATTGACTTATTTTTATGATTCATAAGTTTTTAATATATGTCTATTGTATGTTTATATGTTTACTCTAATTTTTTTCATGTTGTCTAAATTGAACTATGTTGTTCTTGTTCTTGTTGAATCCGCCTGAATTCTACGTTTGTGCAGGTGAAGAACGAACCAAAGGAGAATTCATCTGCAATATTTTATTCATTATTACTTCATTTATCATTAGCCACATTTAGAATAATGTTATTACAGTATTCCAATGATACGGATGTGTCATACATTATTTCTAATCTTTAGAGAAAATCTTTGTTTTTTAAAATTCCAGTGGACCATGGTAGAATTTCTTCCTTATTTTGCGAAGAAAAAGTCAAATAAAAATGTAATTAAAAAAGAAAGAATCACGAAATATTCTACCGAGACAAATTTATTCTTTACTAATTGAGAAATCTGTTGGTTGATATTAGATCTGGTACATCAGTACATAATTTCCAGACTTAGCTGAAAACCTCCAGGCAAGGGGTATATAAAACCAAATGGTCGTCCTTGACATTGGAAAGTTTACCACATTTTGCCTGTTCTTTAATGTATATCTCCGCGTAGTTGATTACCTCAGCGGAGGGGGAGGAAATTTTCCCGTTATCCCTGAGGACCTGCAGCAAGGCCGCCACAGCGCCAGTCACAAACGGAGCCGCCATGGAGGTCCCGCTCATGGTAGTGCTTCCATATTTGTTCCAATAGGATGCGGCTGTGATAGATTCACCCGGGGCGTATAAGTCTACACAAGGGCCTAGATTACTAAATCTCGCCCTTTCGTAATTGGCGTTAAACGCCCCGACAGTGAGGGAAGCCGCGCTGCTAGCTGGAGAGAAATCACAAGCGTCGCTAGCATAGTCATTTCCGGCTGCGACAACCACGGGGATTCCTGCTTCAATGACGTCATCGACTGCGTCGTTCAAAACCCGGTTGTACGGCCCGCCAATACTGAGGTTAACGACAGAGAGGCGTCCACTCTTTTTCACTCTTTGCTCTATCCACAGAAGACTTTGTAATATGCCGGATGTAGGGCACGAGTAGTCGCAAATCTTTAGAGAAATGATGTTGGCCCGCTTTGCCACCCCATATTTCTCTCCCCCGATGATACTTGCCACGTGGGTACCATGGCCGTTGCTGTCCACACTTGTCGATTTCGGCCAACCTGGAGACACAGAAAACATTGGTAAATAATAATAATAATAATAATAATAATAATAATAATAATAATAATATTTTATTAAGATTGCAACCAAATGAACGAGGGGGCGTGTCATCCATTTAAGCTGTTTGCACATAGCGAGAGTCACCGATTTACATAGGATTTTTCCAGTGAAACCATGTTATGGAGACAATTCCAACTCACCAATGGTTACTCTCCCTGTAAAATCGCGGTGGTCTGGATTGATGCCCGTGTCCGCCACATATACATCTATACCAGCCCCATCGCCCCAGCTTCGGAACTTAGAATCCCCTGGAACACCGTCAAGAGTATCCAAGCCCTGCAAGGAAAGGAAATCAAAATACAAAATCTGATTTGAGATATTGTAAGAGCTAAAAATAACATTCCAAGTCCACTCTGTGATGGTACAGTGAAATCAGTATTAACATACCCATAGTCCACTCCGTGATGATACAGTGTACTCGTTGCTGCAGTATTCTGTGTTCAGTTTTGCTTTCACATCTTGCTCGATCTCCTCAATAACATCGATCAGTCGACGCAACTTCAGGAGGTCGCTTAAAACGATTTAAATGGATTCATTAATACCTTCGTTAATGTCGTTATAATTATAATTAACAAACAAGATTAACCATTGGTCATTATGCATATTTTAATTGATTCCTCTTTTGAAACTTTTTAAAGGGTTTCATTTCAAACTGATTGATTGGCGGGTGCATGATAGTTATCAAACCGTAATCTGTTTGTTGAGTGGTAGTTTATATATTCGTATTATTTATAAGAATGCTATAAGAATAACTAAGACAAGTTTTACAAATATGTAAGAAGGGATGAAAAACAAATTGTTACGAATCTGTTGTGTCAAACCTGGCACTTATGTTTCGCAGAATGACAAAATCCCTTTCTTTACTAAACTTGACTTCTTGACTGTTCTCAGCTCCTTTGATGATCCTAGTGACTAGAATTTGGAAAAGATAAAGTTTCTGGTTAATATAGTTAAACGACGTCCATTTGTCCATATCTAAGTCCTAAGTCCATATCTTATAAAATAAACGCAATGTGTGAGCTGAAAACACACTCCTGCTAAGATGGCCAATAAAAGCGTTCTACAACCGCTCGATGCCACGACATCGTGAAGACTCCATATAATCACAGGTCAGTATTCTGTGGGCAAACATCTGGGGGTCCATCACATGACCAAAACTTTTGTTTTATTAATCGTTCTTTGTAGATGCCCAAAAACCTTGCACTTAATCCAACTGGTCCTGGTGTTTACGCCATTTTACTCTGACTCATCCAAATTTCCTCCCCTTTCATGTCACTCGCCCTTAATGTGTTAGATCGGGGATGACCAAAAACTCTAACCTACTGTCGGCTTAAAAATGATACACTGTTTAAAAAACAACAACTCGTGTTTGTAATCTTGTAAGTTGTTAGTTTAAGCAGTAAAAAGCACCACATTGAGAACTGTCACGGATCAGCGATATCATGTTGAAGATCTCCACAAGTGACAGCTTGTCGTGTATGACTTTCAGCAGAGTTTGGTAAAAGTTTACCGCCCCAGCCATGAATGTTAGACGAGTCTACTTACTGCGTCACATATCCCTTATCCTTATAAATTATTAAATTAGTTCCCACTAATTACTAGATTACTTCACATTAGTTCCCACTAATTACTAGATTACTTCACATTAGTTCACACTAATTACTGGATTATTTCACATGGCTGAAGTTGCAAAAAGCGTCATATTGAGAGCAGACAAGGACGCAGACCAGAGCCTTCATGTTGAAGATCTCCACACGTGGCTGTTTGTCGTGTATGAACTTTAGCGGTGTTTGGTTAAAATTTACAGTGCCAATCACAAATGTGAGACGACTCTATTTACTACGTCACAAACCCTTATCCTTGTAAATTACTAAATAAGTTTCACTAATTACTGGATTGGTTCACATTAGTTCACAGTAATTACTAGATAATTTTACGTTAATTTACTCTAATTACTGGATGAGTTCACACTAATTACTGGTTTTGTTCACACTAATTACTGGACTGATTCACATATGTTCATAATTAATGCATGTGTAGTTCACACTATTTTACATTAATTACTTGATTAGGTCACATTAATTACTGCATGTACATGCACTCCTGTTCTTGGTGCTCTAAACTTCAAACAGATTTGAACCTGACAGCTATAATAATATCCGTGCACATTTCAAAGGAGCACATATAACGCAGTAGCGGTAGTGGATATTATTGCCATAGTTTAGAGTTAGGTACTTCTACTTACTTTGACCATAATCTGCGCCAGGCAAAAGTCGAGCGATGTATTGGTTTGCTACTCCAGAACCGTCCGTGTATTCAATAAGGGGCACTAAGGAGAATATGAATAAGTTCAACCTTTTTTTTTCTCCGAGACCTCGCACTATTTTGTGAAGTAAACTAATATTGTACTGCTTTAAGCCATAGGAATATAAATAAGAACACTTTATTGTTAATTTTTTGACAGAATTCAATTGGGTTACGTACAAAGCAATAACATGTGATTTTTTCCACTGATTTGTGAGATGAAAGTTCTTTCTCCAATGCTGCACACTATTATGTGAAATCAGTTTAAATATTTCTACTTACCCAAGCTTTCTTCTTCCGACACTTTCAATACAGCTAGTGCTTGTAGCCTTTTTCGAATGTCCACGTGATCTCTTTTTTTCCTCAGTGGCGCCTGAGGTGCGTCTCTTGAGGTAATGTTGTACTCACTGCCCCCACTCGGATAGGCAACTGCCATTGCTAACAGTCCCAGAACCAAAATACCCGCCAGCGCCGACAACTGCATACTCCTATAAACAGATCAGTTATATTATGAACAGATGAATACCATTTGGTATGACATTATATTAGTCTCTTTAATTCCAATTATCACCACGGATCTACGTGGATTGACCCAACTTTGAGGGGATTCTTGCTAAGTGCAATCAGCTTAACAAATTAACACGCCTCCCCTAGCGTTTAGTAGAATACAGAAGCTGGGGATTATTCAAGTACATGGAAATTGGAAACAAAAGGAAGAGTGCCATTCAATTAACTTGATTGCACTTAGCAAGAGTCCCCGCAGTGTTGGGTCGATGTGAACGGAGTCTTAGACGCAGAACCACTTAATTACATTACGTAAATGTGAAAAACATCCGTAATCACCCTGCGGTGCAGTACAATTAATATTCTACTATACTGTAAACTTATAACATTGAGAAACTGAGATCATTTGCTTCCCATAAAGGCTAAAAATCTACATTTGCTTGGGAGAAATGTAAAAAGTTCATGAACAGGGTGAATGATATCGTTCCTTATCTATCAGGTCCGAGCCCTTATATATATATATCCCTGTCTGTTCGAACGAAAACATAAAAAGACTGAACAAAAAATGTCAAAACAGACCCTAAAACTGATTGTACATTTGAGTTGGTTTTAAAGTTGGCGCTTGCTACTAAACATTTTCCCATAAATTACAAATTCTTCTTCTCCTTTTTATGCTTTGATTATTTAAGAAAACGCATAAATCCAGCACCTAACGTTAAAATGAATTGCAACTTACCCAATGTGGCTTCTGAGTTAACTGAACAGCGCCTTGTCTGGTCTGTTGTGNTATATTAGAAGATGGTATGAGTCCTGGAGAGTTGGGGGAGTTTGACTTTGGTCCAGACTGGATGGAAACAGATGGGTTGAGGGACCCTGGGGATAACAGCAGTGACAGTGGCATCAGCAGTAAGTAGACAGCAGTGATATATGTCACTTAAAATAGCTGATACTGGTGAATTGGAAGATGTAAACTGGTGTGCCAAAAATGAGTGAAAAGTAAAAAATATGTCAACTGATAAAGGCATAGAGCATCACTCTGTGAAAGATATTCTTTTGCTTTTGTTGAACTTTTGTTGATTTAAAAAAATAAATTCTCACAGTGAAAGTACCAACACTCTTGTAATTCACAGTAAACTAAAGCTCCCAATAATAAAATATGTCAGAAATATATCAGTTTCATTACGCTTGTACAGCACTGTAGTGAGGCATTCATAAGTGTGGTTGTTTTTTCTTCCAGGTGTTAGTATCAAACAAGAACCTTTCTCCCCTGCTCTGTCTCATACCTCAGATTGCTCTGGTGACTCCTTCCTTCAGCAGGTAAGAAATAATACATGATGGCTGGATTTGAAGTGAAGTCAGCAACATTCACAATTGTAATGAAGTTGTGTTGTTTTGTTGTTTATTAGTTATTAATTTTCTCCGCACAGCATCTTGCTAAATTTTTTTCTAAGTCTGGTTTAAATTGGTATGTCTGAGGAAATAACCTTTTACTCTGATTGAAATTCATGTGTGTAGTAAGGTTAAGTCATTACAATATTGCACAATGTTTCGATTTCTATACAATTTTTCTGCAGCCTACCCCTGAGCTTTTTGTGTCACCCGAGACCTTCATAAGTGATGTTGGAATGGAGTAATGAGAATACATATAATTTTGTTGTTGTTGTAGACCCCCCTTGATCAGCTGCCATTGCTGAACCAGTTTGATGTGAAGCTTGAGAGTCCTCCTCCAACTCCTCCCCAAGACAACAGTGACAGTGCAGTCCAGTATATACAGCCTTCAGCCATTAGTTGTGGTGTCACATTCCAGAAGGGGGCAGCAGCAGCAGCTCAACCCGCACACAGCAAGCCACACATTACCACAGTAAAACTGACACATGTAACGGGACTGAACCCAGACAGTAAGCCACTGCCACCCAAAGTTGTCAATGTGTTGAATTCTAAAGTGAAGATACAGCCCAAGTTACCCAATAGTTCTGCCTGTGTAACCCCTGCACCCTCCCCACCGCCACCAACGCCACCTGGTGTAGCACCTGGCTCACCCTGTGCAGGTAGTCAAGGTAAGATGTAGGATTGGTGATGAAATCTCAGTGTTTGTGTTAATGTGGAAACCATGAGTTCTTTCTTTGATGTCATTTACACCAAAACCAGTACGAATCTGTGTATAATGCAGATTATGGTTAGAAGACAAAAGACTTTTTTTCCTCTTGATTATTAGTGAAGAAGAAGACTGTCTAAATTTAAAAGTATTTTCCTCTATGTTAGGCACAGCTGCCTCCAAACCCCTAGTTCTCACAGCTGAAGAGTTTGCCCGGCTTACTGCCCAGGGAGTACTGAAGTTCCATCCCCCAGAGCAGGAGGCCAACAAGACCAACAGCTCAGTAGCACAGTGTATCCCAGTACCACAGGGAGAGGATGTGAGTGTTTGGAAATGATAGCCTGACTTCTACAGCCAACATGGGCTAGCTCCTTAAATATTAAAATGTTGTGGCCTAACTTCATTGGCAGTTGATTGAAGTTTACTGTACCAGTCAAAAATGGTGTATAGATGGGTCTGTTCATTTAGGGTCAGAGTCTGATAAAAATGCATATGTGATAGTTTGAAAAAAAAAACAAAAACAAGCACACAAGGTACCTGAAGGTCTGGGTAGCCTTTTCCCAGGTTGTAGTAGTTTGATAAGTCTATTTTAGATGCATGCCAGCAACATTTTCAGTTGTGACCAGTTTTAAGAAAAGTCATTCAAATGATGGTTGAAGTTTTCACGTATTTGCAAGTGAATTTAGATGTGATTCAATGATAAATGATTTGTTTCTTGTTATTGCTTTGTGCAATTTTGGTATATCAAATTATATCAGAATTTTATTACCAAGTTTTAATATGTCTAATCCATTTTGTCCACACAGCCAAGAGTTTGGAAACGACAACAGAGAATGATAAAGAATAGAGAATCTGCAAGCTTGTCAAGAAAAAGGAAAAAAGAGGTATATTTCATAATATATTAAAGTGGTTCTTACAAACATTGTGTTTTTAAATGATTTGAGAAAAAGTTGAAAACTGACTTGAAAACAGCTGAAAAAAAGCACCTTGTGGAACTAAGGCCTTTATATGATTGGATGATGGGAATTTTAATCTGGATTTTGACACGAAAAAATAAATAATGCCAACAAATTTTGATGTAAACTTTCTGCATTCTATCATTTTTGTAAAGTAATTTTTGAAAGGGATATGAATTTGATTTTGTTAAACATGAAACATGTCACAGCAGCATAAACACATCTGTTTGAAAAACAAAAAAATGTATTTGATATGTAATGTCTTAACACTTATTTGAAAATAAAAGTAATAGAAAGCAAAATATTTTTTTCAGTACATGACTACAATAGAAAATCAACTTCAAGAGATTTCAAGAGAGAATGAGAAACTCAGACAAGAGAACCAGAATTTGAAAAGAAAACTTAGTTTATTAAATTCAGAGGTAAATATTCTGTAATTAGAACACTTCAAATAGATATTTAAAATTCTGTGCAGTAAATTTTTAAGGAGAATTTTATATCTAAGTCTCCTGCATGATTTCATTTGTATTTTGTGTCAACTATATTTATGTCCACTTGTCTATATCTATTTGTGTTTATGTATTTATTTTTTAAAAGAATCTGTTAGCATTTTTGTTAAATTTTTCATTAATTTTAATCTATTTTATAAATTGATTGACTTAGGATGAATGTGCACTCTAGATTACATTACAGTAATATATATAATTATGGATTAAAATTACATTATGAATTTTCACATTAATTTATAATGATTTGTCATCCACTTTCCTATTTCTAGAACATGGCATTAAAGCGCAGCACAGGTTCAACAAAGGTGACAGCCACCTGCCTACTTACAGTTCTCTTCATGTTTGCCCTCAATTTGGGGCCCATAAAGTAAGTTAACCTGCTGACATAAAATAAACAGTCTCTTAAGTTAACTTAAGTATCAAAAAGCTACAAAATTTATTTTGTTGTTTGGAGGTTTTCACATGATTTTTACTATTATATTAAGCAATGCCTGTTTATTTTTGAGACGTAGAAGAAATAGATCTAGAAGAAAAATTGCCAAAATTTGAATTTTCTGCCATGGAAATGGTTTTTTGATTCAACTTGTGCTGATACAATTTGTATTATCCATATATTCCAGCAATTTAGTATTTAAAAGCTCATCAGAAACCAGCCTAGCTGCCATTCCAATGAGTTCGGTCCATCCTGGAGGTGGGCGCCATCTATTAACCTATGATGAAACTATGCAGCAGCCCATTAGTGGGAAGTATTTCCCAAGGAGCAAAGCAAGCTTTGAAGACATTGAGAGCACATTAGCCGAACTGAAGAGGGGATTTGAGAGAGAAAAGTTTTTCAGAAAAAATAAAGACTTCATTGCATTTAATAGTGAGCTGGAGTCCCTCTGTCCAGTGTACTTCAATAAAACTGAATCTCAAAGGTAAGCATGGAATACAACTGTGATTGTTTTTATTATCTCTGCTTGGGGAATGACCCCCATTCCTCCTTGTCAACCTACTCATCTGAAAAATGAGTGAATAAGTGTGTTTTTGATTTTGTTGCACTGGCTTGTCAGTTAAGCTTGTAGAGAAGCTGTTCCATTTCTTTGTTTATGGGTATGTTTATGTGCATTTAAGACCATAATAGCACAATCTGCCTCTTAGCATTTGTCAGTGTATTTTATTTCCCTGCTGGGAGCACATTTGAAAGTGCTTGCAAAAAATCAACCTCAGTGTTCTTATTGGATATGTTTTCGTGTAGGCTGTGTGTGTGTGTGGGTGTGGGCACGCGTGTGTGCATGTACATGGATGTATGGGTTCTCGCCTGTCTTTATAACATATGTATAACCACTGTGTTCCAGGCTGGCTAACGAGCTGACGGGGTGGGTCTTGGCACACAAAGAAGCCCAAAAGAAAAAGAAAATTTTAGAAGAAAACATCAGGGAAAAGAAGGCTGTTGAGGCCAAGAACAGAAAACCTACCAGGAAGAAGTATGTGAAACCAAAGACATTGCACGCCATGATGAAAGGAGATTTGGACATTAAATATGCAAAGGATAGGTGAGTTGATATTTCACAGCTGTCACCATAAGGTGAACATAGGATTAACATCTGGTAGTATCAGCATTTCTACTTTGCTTCTCACCTCCTTTTTTCAAACAAGTAATTGTTCTACTTCAGTTGTCTTTATCAGGGCTTTAAGTCAGCTGTCACTTAATGCAAAGGAAATTTACTCTGTGACTGTGAAACATATTCCTTAGGCTGTTTTAATTTCTTTTACCCAACCTGTTGTAGTTATAATTTGTCTTTCACAGCATATATTCCCAGTTGCCTTGTTACACAGTTTTTGGCTGTAATGGAGAAACATAGCATAATTTCAACAGCAGCTGCTTATCAGGTTATTGATGTTGATGTTTCTCCTTTGTCCTTTCAGTTACCCTGGCAGTAGCCAGTATCAGGTTCAGGTCTTCAACGGTCCAGACAAAAGCTACATGGATTTCTTGGACTCCATTCACAGAAGAAATGACACATTTTATGTGGTGTCTTTTAGAAGGGTGAGTTAAACCAAGATGTGTTCTCTTTGTATATTGAACTTTCTTTAGAAGTGTGTGCATGCATGCATATTTCAGTGTGGAGATGTTTGTCTTTATACACCAAATATTAGATCAGTGTTTATGATAAATGACTGCAATCTGTCAGTCAAGCAGGACTTTCGGTCGTAGAATTAATTATCTTTTTAATCTTCTAATAATTTGCAAACTGAGGTCCATTTCTATCAGAGGTTCTATTATGTCTGAACTTTGGCTCATTTCATTTGTAATAAAACTCAAGTAGGTAAAGATTGTAATAATTTATGGCATTTATTGCTTGTTTAAAGTACATTCTTGTTTTTAGTATATTTACATTTTATATATTTCCTGTGTTCTAGGATCATCTTCTCTTGCCAGCTGTGGCTCACAATAAAACCATGCGGCCCAGGATGTCCCTGTTGATGCCTGCACTGCCACTGAATGGTGAGACACGCCACAGATTTGGTTACTTCAGATTTAGTTCCTCTCCAGTTACTTATTACACCATGAAAAGTGTGCACACGGGGCACCTGTCACTTCTGAGTAGATTGTTGAAGTGTTGTTTGGGTTGCATTAGAATTATTTCAGTTTCAGGCTCGTAACTGATTATTACGGAAAAATTTTTAAGTGTTTAGGTATTTTCTAAGAGGAAATGACTATAACAATGCTTCTTCTTATACTACCTCTGCTTATAGTAAAGATTATAAAAGTGGTCATAATGATGATGATAATCCCATCTTAAAGACATGTGATTTTAAAACTCTTGTAATTATCACAAATTGAAATCTAAAAGGTCTGTTCCCTGTTCCAGAGACTATGCAGCCCCCGCCAGGTGACATGGCCATGATGCAGATAGACTGTGAGGTGATGAACACGCGACTCTTGCACATCAAGAACACCGCTGTGCCGTCTTTTATGAAAGAACCTCCCAGCAACGTGACGCACACTGTCGTAACAAACACGGAGACTCCAGACCATTTGCCGCGAGAGGAAGTGATTCCATAAGAGAGACTGTTACGTACCTGAAGCTTTGAATTACTTGTTGCTGTGAGGAAAAAAAGGCAAAAAGGGCAAAACGAGACTCAGGCAAATTTCTGCAGTTTTTCAGTGTAGTCTTTTCAGGTTTGCTGTACAATACCTCAGTGACATTGTAAGTGCCTCGACATTGTAAAAATTGTAAAAATATTGGGTCAAGCAAAGCATAGACCAGGTTAATACTATGACAGCTGTGAAGATGTAAGTTGTGCTATAGTAGAGGGAGAATCTCTCTCACAGTTCACTGACCACAACAGTTGGTGATTTCCCATAATAATGGCAGCACATTCCATATTGTAAATATCATAGACTAGGTCTTTCTTTTTCTCTTTCTTTGTATTAGATTAGACATTTTTTCATTTTGTTTCATTCTTGGATAATAGAATGATTGTGAATTAAGTATAATTGTTTTCATGATTTCATTTATTTATTAATTATTAGAAGAGTAAATGCAAAATTAGGCAAAGATTTAGGCAAAGCAGTTATTTTTTAAGTGATGTCCAGGGCTCCAGAGACTTCTTGAGATTTTGTATCCATTCAGGATCCAGAAATTTAGACAAGTGACAGATTGCTCAGAGGTTCTGGTGCATCATTCATTATACTCTCTTGATATATGTGTCATATTTGTATGTTTTTTTTTTACATAAGCCATTTCAGTTTTGCAAGGCTAATATTTAGAGTTATGAACTTATGACAATATCTAAATCATGGTCAAGAGTAAAGAAATTAGAGAGGTGCATCCTTATGGAGGAGGATTTTTTATCTACTGGATTCTCCTTTTTTCTGTTGTTTTTTCTTCCTGAATTTTATATGTGGTAGACCTATCCATATAAATATCCTTATGTTTTCTAGTCCTTGGTTTCTAACAACCAGATTTGACAAATAGTTTGTTGGAGTCTTATGAAAGAGCCCTTCAGTTTTTATTTCTTTACATTTTTATACGGTGCATATAGTTATAGATTGTTGTTGTGTGGACTAAAGATGCATGATGAATGCAAGTTTTGTGGTCTTGTAAAGATCTCAGATGACAAATCTTATAAATATAACCATTGATATTTATGAAACGGTGTATCATATTACAATATTGATTCCTTCTGTGAGGGAAGACAAATAAGATTTTTTTTATTGTTGTTATTAACAGTTGAGAATATCATTTTAGTAGGAGTAAGATAATAACTTCAGATGTAGGTGGATGATTATTCAGGATAAATTATTTGTAGTTTTTTGACATAGTGTACTTTGTGCCTGGGATAGTCTTCTTTTAGATTGTAACTCAAGTCTTGTAATTTACTTCTGTTTTTTTTAAATTAATTTTGATTATGAAATTTGATGTGTATTATATTGTTGTCAATGGGTAGGGTGTAATCATGGTAAAATTATCTATTTGTTTTTATATATATGCATTAGAATGTGTCTCAAATGCAAGATTTCAAAGTTGTCTCTGTAAAAACATGTAAGTCTATGTTCAGTAAAATATTGGAATCTGTTTAAAGTGAAAAGAAGTATCTAGATTTGATTGTTGTTGAATTTTACAGATGGAAAAAACTTATTAGTATTAAGTTTTCACATTTTAAATATGTTTCGGAAAACAACATTATTATTATTATTATTATTAGAAGGGGGTGCGTCCAAGTGCACTTCAATATCTGAATACTAAATTTATTTACAATTTGGTTTGTCAGGATAGACTAATCTACAGTTATGATAGTGCAATTGAAGTTTGAACATTTTCTGAACCAGTTATGGTAAAAAATTAGAGGTCATCAAACATAGTGCAATTTTAGAATATCAAGATTTTAATGCATTGTTTCTGTTGTAGGTTTGATATGTTTATATATGTGTGAAGTCAATATTGCTATATTCAAGAGTTGATATGATGTAAATAAACTGGGCAATCATTGGAATTTGAGCATAACGTGAAATTGATATTGAGCACAAATTTGTTCCTTATTTCAAATGTGATTTTAAAGACACAACTGCGGCTGTTTTACACATTTGTGTGTTCGCTGAGCTTTTAAGATATCATACCAAATCATTCATATTTCATTTGTTTAGCTGGGATTGAGCTTGAATCCCGAGTTCAGCACTCGAATATTCATTGGTGAAAGAGGTGAGAGCTAGCAAGGCATTCCTGCTCTTACTTTTCTGCTTCAAGTATGTTTAATGTTATTTTCACATTTTGACTATGAAATTCGTAATACTTTTTGGTTGACAAGGGATTATAATAAATACTTATTTCTGGAAAGAATGTGGGTATTATGCATGTTTTATGTGTACCAACTGGTTGTAGTTACAGTGGACAAGACATAGATGTAGTTTTCATGCCACACTTACAAACGTCTCAAAGAAGACATTTCACCATATTTCATGTGTACCATACGTACCCTGATATATGACAAAATTTAGAAAACACTGCGAAATGACAACTGATCACTTCAATGAACAAACTCCAATAATTCTCATTTTATAGCTTCCAGAAAAAATAATTGTCTACTTTTCCCTTTGCCGAAACGTTTTCGTTGACGGTCAGTATATTTTAACTTAATGTAATTGGATGGAAAGGAAACAGATATTTCAAATATTAGTAAATATTACAGTAAAAAAAGGCATGAAATATATTTGATATTTTAATTTTCTTTATTGCTTACTCATTTCTAAAATTGTCCTAAAGCTTATTTTGCATTCCTGAATTGCATAAATCACATAAAACGAATGGCTAAATGATTTCTATAGTCAACTAACAAACTTTAAATGTAATCTGCTACACCATTTAGATTCGACGTTCTCCAAAAATGATTCCAACTATCTGTGTCACCAATATAAGGCCTTTTAACCATGGACATAATAAGGTCCAAGTTTTAACTGAAGAGAAAGGAAATAAAATTGTCGACGCAGATGTAAACTTTCTAAAGTATACCGTATTATTATGCAAAAGGTAATTTGCTAGGTCCCACGAGCGCCCTCATTCGTTCTCGTCTGGTGANCACGCTTACGTCCACAGCCGTTCACACCTCGGAGGTTTTAGTATTGAGTAGTCTTTACTCTTTCCAATGTCGACTGCGGACTTGCCCCGGGTACCGTATGAACATATGAACAGTCTTGTGAACTAAGGGCCCAAGACTGGAAAGGAGGAGCATAATAAGACAAAACGTGTGCCTGATAAAAGGAGTACAGGTGACGTGACTTTTGTAAAAAATCAAAAGTTTTCTCTCTGCTAATCCCACCAAAAAGATAGCAGATTTTGGTTAAATGCAAGCCATACTGAGTTAGTTATATCTGTGACACCAATATAAAGACTTTTAACTGAAGAGAAAGGAAATGAAATTATCGACGCAGATGTAAACTTTCTAAAGTATACCGTATTATTATGCAAAAGGTAATTTTCTAGATCCCACGAGCGCCCTCATTCGTTCTCTTCTAGTGACATCCCGATTCAGGGGCCAAGTCGTTGTCGTGATGGACTGACGTGCCTCATCCGGGACTCGAACCCGTGACTTTGCGTTACCAAGGTTGATGACGCTTTGGATGTCTCATTTGCATCCATGCACTCTACCGACTGCTCCGTGACTGACCCGCCCACCCTCCGTACGTGCGAGTTTCCTCTTATAGTAATCAATCGCAATTTTTAAAAAATTAATTCTGGCAAAAACATTGACACCGTAGCTCCTGTGACTCGAACCGGCGTACCAGTGTCTGCTGGCTGGCAAGACAGCAGAGTTACAACGCAGCCACGACAGCTCCGTTGACATGAAGTCATCGGATGGAAACTTTCAACCTCGTCCCGGAAAGCGCCAGATTGGGTGTACGTGTGTAGACCTGCTGTCGCAATCGATAATCCGGGTTCCGCATTTCAGCCCACGCAACCCCAGTCCTCGACATGAACGGTTAAGTTCGTGATNTTATAGTAATCAATCGCAATTTTTAAAAAATTAATTCTGGCAAAAACATTGACACCGTAGCTGCTGTGACTCGAACCGGCGTCCCAGTGTCTGCTGGCTGGCAAGACAGCAGAGTTACCACGCAGCCACGACAGCTCCGTTGCGCGAATTCAACGGATGGAAACTTTCAACCTCGTCACGGAAAGCGCCAGATTTGGTGTACGTGTGTAGACCTGCTGTCGCAATCGATAATCCGGGTGCCGCATTTCAGCCCACGCAACCCCAGTCCTCGACATGAACGGTTAAGTTCGTGATGTACACGAAGTCGTGTTTGACAACCCGACTCGGAGCTCGGAGTTTGTTCTACACTAAGATTGATTTTGGCTTTACCCATGTTATTAAAGAGTACAGGGGGATCAGAGGCGATGCACAACAGGCGGGTTTTACTTTTAGCAAGACCATAAGAGGAGAGAATAAAAAAAATTTCAAAACATTCAAGTGTTTAATTACTGGTGCGATTGTAGCCATGGGAATTTTGAGTAAAACATGTTTGGCAAATAATTCCGCCGAGGAGATATCGTTTTTCTACCGAACACGGTGAACAGGTGGTATGACGTGCTGTTATACGGCCGGCAGGAAAAGCTACAGAATCAAAACAAGTTGGATCGTATTCATTGATTACTAGTGAGATGACTTTGGATGCTTTTATTTTCATTTGGTTTTGCATTGAGATAACGTTTGGTTTCACCTTTGACGTTTTAGAGCACGCTGACGTCCACAGCCGTTCACACCTCGGCGGCTTTAGTATTGAGTAGTCTTTACTCTTTCCAATGTCGACTGCGGACTTGCCCCGGGTACCGTATGAACATATGAACAGTCTTGTGAACTAAGGGCCCAAGACTGGAAAGGAGGAGCATAATAAGAGAAAACGTGTGCCTGATAAAAGGAGTAGAGCTGACGCGACTTTTGTAAAAAATCAAAAGTTTTCTCTCTGCTAATCCAACCAAAAAGATAGCAGATTTTGATGAAATGCAAGGCATACGGAGTTAGTTATATCTGTGACACCAATATAAGGACTTTTAACTGAAGAGAAAGGAAATAAANGGCTTTAGTATTGAGTAGTCTTTACTCTTTCCAATGTCGACTTCGGACTTGCCCCGGGTACCGTATGAACATATGAACAGTCTTGAGAACCAAGGGCCCAAGACTGGAAAGGAGGGGCATAATAAGACAAAACGTGTGCCTGATAAAAGGACTAGAGGTGACGCGACTTTTGTAAAAAATCAAAAGTTTTCTCTCTGCTAATCCCACCAAAAAGATAGCATATTTTGATGAAATGCAAGCCATACGGAGTTAGTTATATCTGTGACACCAATATAAAGACTTTTAACTGAAGAGAAAGGAAATAAAATTGTCGACGCAGATGTAAACTTTCTAAAGTATACCGTATTATTATGCAAAAGGTAATTTGCTAGGTCCCACGAGCGCCCTCATTCGTTTTCGTCTAGTGACATCCGGATTCAGGGGCCAGGTCGTTGTCGTGATGGACTGACGTGCCGCATCCGGGACTCGATCCCGTGACTTTGCTTTTCCAAGGTTGATGACGCTTTGGATGTCTCATTTGCATCCATGCACGCTAGCGACTGCTCCGTGACTGACCCGCCCACCCTCCGTACGTGCGAGTTTCCTCTTATAGTAATCAATCGCAATGTTTTAAAAAATTAATTCTGGCAAAAACATTGACACTGTAGCTGCTGTGACACGAACCGGCGTCCCAGTGTCTGCTGGCTGGCAAGACAGCAGAGTTACCATGCAGCCACGACAGCTCCGTTGACACGAAGTCATCGGATGGAAACTTTCAACCTCGTCACGGAAAGCGCCAGATTGGGTGTACTTGTGTAGACCTGCTGTCGCAATCGATAATCCGGGTGCCGCATTTCAGCCCACGCAACCCCAGTCCTCGACATGAACGGTTAAAGTGATAATAACTCTTCGTTTCGGCCAAAAAATGAATTTTCGAGAGATTGTTATCGATTATTTTTACCCCCATCCCCCTTTAAATTTATTCTTTATTTATTTATTTTTTTTTTTCATTTAATTTCACACACATCCCCCTCCCCCCGGTCACGGCACTTGGAAAAGTAGGACGCCCTGAAATTTCCGAGGAAATTGCGGATGTCAATTTTGGACGGCCTGTACCCCAGTACTGGAAAAAGTGTTGGTTCTTGGAGAAATTATACACTGTAACTTAATTATATCGTGGGAATAATTTATCTTTAAGAGATAATTTTATTTTATTACTGGTGAAAAGTAAGCTATGATATTTGGTACATATAATTTAAACTGTCCTACATCTGCTGTGCATTGTAAGTCTACATTTAGCTGTACCTGGGAATTATGAAAATCTGAGCGTACAATTTTGAAATGTCTGGTTACGCCCCTGTTTACAAAGGACTGGTATGTCCGCGGACAGGGTTGGCCCCATGCACCCCCCCGCTATCCTTTTCATGGCCATCGGAAGCCAGAGAGAGAGAGAGAGAGAGAGAGAGATGCGTATAGACCCTTTTCATCTTTTCCATGAAATTGCATTGTGGGAATATGGGTCCTTGCTATGTTGAAACTTACTGCTGTGCTGAAAACCACGCCTGAATTTACATGCTGTGTGTCCCGTGGCTACTATAACAGTAACCGAGATCGAGACGTGTTTTTATAAGTTTCCACAAACCGGTTTGAATGAAAAATATGGGTAGACAACATCGGAAGAAAAAAAGGAAAATTTTAGCAGGTTAGGATCAAGAGCCGGTCACCGAGTTTGCGCCGAACATTTCGAAGGCGGGAAAAAAAACTATAATATTAGGAGATCAACGGTGTTAAAATAAAAACCAGAAAAGTTAATCAGCGGATCTAACGAAGTATCGGCAAATAGAACTCAGGGGAAAACAATGCATGAAAACAAAACGTGATAAAGATCTGAAGAAAAAATTGAAGATTACAAAGAAAGGAAAGACTAAGCATGAATTTATGGAAAAAGAAACTAAAAGCTCTTACGTTTTACACGGGGTTTGCTACTTATAAAGAATTCAAGAACTTTCACGACTTCTTGTATCCAGTCACGTATTACTCATGTGTACAAATGGGGCTAAAATTATCAAGATTGATAGAGACATACGAAGAAGAAAGTACATTGGCTCAGAACTCTTGTTGAACGCGTTATCGGCAAAATAAAAAGTTATGTATTTCTGAACTCAACGACAAATGGATTGAAAAATTTATGGGTCATTACCGAACGACTGAACAAGTAATGCCTGATAACTTACCACGGCGGTCCACACGTTTTAATACTGAGAATGATTTTATTTTAGAACAATCTGTTTTAGAGAAGGGGTGCCTCAAAAGTTATGGAGATCGTGGTTTTATAATCTACGCCCCAAATGTGTGGAATTGTCTACCAAATTTTATTAGAAAAACAGAAGATTTTGACAATTTTAAATCTCTTTTAAAGACCCACATTTTATATTATGTCTATATCTCTTAGATTTTTTTAAAATATATATATGTTTTTTAAGATTGATTTTTAGTAGTGTAAATTTTAAATGGTTTCCAATCAGAGTTTATGATTAAAATATTGTAGTCATTTTAATGATTTTAGTATATTAGCCATTTATATATATATATAAGGGATGATCGGTTTCTTCTAGTGAATGCCGATACCTATGAAAAGGAACTAAATGGTGCCGTTCTGGGTTTGAACCTGACAGTTTTAAGTGAAGTGTTACTCTGCCTATAAAGCTATCTTGTCAAGCTTGTTTCTGGAAGACTGCAGGACAGGTAGAAAAATAAAATCTGAAGGTTTCTTGAAGGTCGCAGACTTTTGGACGCCAATATATTTCAAGGTTAGTCCGCGCCTACATGCACACGTACAAGCCAGGTGTGCGAAGGGCAACATTTAACCGTGTGTAAGGGGGCGGTTGGGGGGCGCTAAGTGCTAAAAAATTTGCAAAGGAGGGATTAGACTTAGCCTCTCTGCGTCCTGCGCTTAAACATGGTAGAAACGTGTGTGTGTTTGGGGGGGGGGGGGGGGGGGAGGCACAAGCACACACACCACCAGCAACGCGGCTGCTGAGTCTTTATGCATCCAGTGGCGTTTGATAAAACCAGCAGAAAACATCCGCCCTGTGTTAGGTGCGCATGTAAAAAGCGAGCGTCGCAGAACAGTATTTCTCTTTGTATGCCGTTGTTAGTGCTAGGACAACAGCTAAATCATTACCCATAAATGTGTAATGCGACAAACATCTATATTTAATAATTCAGGTTAGTGCAACAAACGGGCGAGGAGTTGAAATGCCCCAATTGTTGTCATTGTTGTCAATAGTGCATCTAAAGGGGGGAGACGGAAGGATACATTAAGGGTTATTGAAAAAACAACCTTCAATCCATATATTGTTGATATTTCTTTGTCGGAAAGGCTTTGCTGTAACCGGCGTCTTTATCACGTTTTCTTTTATCATTCCGGCACTATTTTCAGCAGCAGCGTTTTGTTTTTATTTCACCTCGTGAGGCTATTGTGAGAATCAACAATGCGTGTAATGTGCACGAGGTCGCAGTGCGTTTTTTCGCAGTTATAACCCAATTCCAAGAACTGAATTCCGATCGACAATAGCGGCGACTCCTACAGGTGTAAAAATGGCGGATAAAATGTCGGTTGTATTTTTACTTTTCGGCGTTCTTTTAACAGCACAAGTCTTTAATGTAACCGAGGCAGGTTACAACCACAATGTTGCATTTAAACCCGAATGTGAGCGTCGAGGTGACCAAATCCCCAGCAAGTGCGTCTACAACTTTACCATCGACTACCGTATGACAGGGGTGTGGTACAACGAGAGAAGAAACACCGGGAAACCCGTCTTTAAGACTGATGCTAAACCTGACCAGTATTTCTACGGGGAACAATATAACTGTTCAAATATCTCGATGTCTGAGTCTGGTGAGTGTCGCCCTGGGACTTGTTTGTACGGCGCAGAGATTGCACCGGTTAAGAACACCATTTTTAACCACCACGCCCAGAATATTTGATACAGTTGTTTATACAGGTAAAATACGACCGGGGGCCTGCAGAATTAAAATAAAATGGTAGCTTTTTTAAGTCAGACTGGACTGGTCTTAATCGAAGTACTTCACACCGACACTATAGCGCTTATTAACTGGGCAGATACAGGGGTCTGCTACATTGCACATCAGTTATCTGTTTTGTTCACATTGAAACTAGATACACAGTATTCGTTCGCGAAAGAGCGTGAAATTTATTATATTTTTTAACCCTCCTTCCCAATGAAATTTATTATATCTTTAATTTTTTTCCAACCCCCGCTCACGGTACTTGGAAAAGTTTGACGTCCTAAAATTTTGAAGTAAGATACAGATGGCAATTATGGATGGCCTGTACCCCAATCCTGAAAAAAGCGTTGGCTCTGGATGAAATAATATACTGGAACTTAATTATACTGTGGTAATATTTTAAACTTTAAGTTATTATTTTATAAACGGTGAAAACTGAGATATTATTTTTGGCACATATAATCTAAACTTCCCTTCATCTGTTGCGTAAGTTTACATTTAGCTGAACCTGGGAATTTTGAAAATCTGTACGTACAATTTTAAAAGGTCTGGGCCCCGTATCTCAAAATCATCGCGCATTGCAGCCGTGGGCAAGCATCTCGATTCCATAACTCTCCCATACTCGTCCCATATAATATACATTGTAGCCTCTATGTGATATAGCGATTCGCAATACGCGATGCTTTCGAGATACGGGACCCTGGTTACGCCCCTGCAACAGCGCTGTTCAAAATAGATAGAATGGCCAATGCAAGTGATGGGATGGGTAAAATATTCGCCAGGTATTCATTTTTTGTATGCGGGTGAGATGTCTATATTGAATGGTAGAGATATGATTTAGTGGGCACAGTGCACTGAAAAAGCTGTCGCATTGACATAACAATTGGCGTGGTTCAGGTGAGGCGGTCTAGGGTTCCTTTCTTTAAAAATCAATGGAAAAGAATGGGGTCAGAACGATGCATCAGTAACAATGCAGTCGACATTTTTGCACCTTTTGTCCTTGTGGCTTAGAGCGGATTTTGCTATTCTTAGGTAACCTGGATTGGGCCAAATAGATATTGGGCCGCAAAAGAGAAAGCAGTTGTGAATTTTAGACCAAAAATTTTACTTTTTTTAAGTCTATTTCAATTGAGGAGGAATATCAAGACAACCAGTATTAGACTATAACAGTCGTAATTACTTTGTTGTTTTTTTCTTTTCAAAAGGTGCATAGTTACATTTTAATAGACGGCAGCCGATTTTGCTCCGATATTTTTATATTAAAGCACGTGTATTTCATCGTGTTTATTGCTTTTTTCTCCAGATCTTGACAACATGAACATTTTATTGATGCCCAGTATAGTTGATATTGTTTTCTTACTGTATTTCTCCCGATCTGGACGACATTTTCATTTTCATTTTATTGAGACCTAATATTGGCTTCTTGTTGTATCTCTCCAGATCTTGATGACGTCATAATGGCAGACGGAAGCTACCGTAGAATTTACACCATCAACGGTCAGTTTCCAGGGGAGACAATAGTTGCGTATAACGGGACACAGGTACATGTACTGAGTATATTGTAATGTTTATTTATATATCATAACGTCACCTCATGACAATGGAATGATCATTTTTTAATTGTAAACCGTGTAGACCATGCTTTCAGAAGAGTTTATTTTTCTTTAATAAAGAACTATTTGGTGTCCTTTTTGTATTGTATTATTTTAGGACTGTTTTCATGATAATATTTTACAGAAGTCGACTTGGATATTCAGTGGATTAAGACGGGGGGGGGGGGGGTCAGATGACTAGCTGAACATTAGTTCTGAGCCATACCAAAGGGCACCGCTTGCCCTCCAAAACAACAACAAAAAAATTTGCGGTCCTTGAGCAGGTCCCGAACCCCACACCGAGGGGTCGATGGTCGGCTTTGCATCCGATGCCTGTCTTTCCGGACCCCCCTCCCCCCGTCCCCCTCAAATAATCCTGGATCCGCCCCTGAATATTGACTAATTTATTTCAGTTGATTATCAGTGTAACTAACAATCTAGAAGAAGAGGGCGTGTCCATCCATTGGCATGGCATCGTGCAGAGAAACACGCCATACATGGACGGCGTGGCCCGCATAACCCAATGTGCAATCAACCCTGGGGAGACATTCGTCTATAGGTACATCAATATCCAATGAAATTCTTTGGTGTATTATTTTTTGTTGATTTCAGTGACAAATGAGAAGCGCTGATACACACACTGATTATTTGTACCTAGTGTAGGATAAAATCATGTTGAGAAACTAATAATAAATCCGATTCCTGCATTACGTTCACGAGCGAATGAACAAACAGGGCTCCGTATCTCGAGAGGTTCGCTATGTTGCGCACGTGCGCAAGTGTCTTGACTCCATGGCCCCGTATCTCGAAATAGAATCGATTATGGAATCGAGACTCCTGCGCACGTGCGCAACATAGCGAACCTTTCGAGATACGGAGCCCAGAGCACTGAAGTTTGCGATTAGATTGAAAGGGGGCGCAGGGGAATATCAAAAATTGGACAAGAGTAGAGGAAAGCAAAGACTTGGCCACTTACACTACTATTGGAGGTGGAGGCAGGGGGTGGATATTCTCCGATGCTCGAAGGAATTTGTACCCGTAGCCCTTTGCAGGGGCGGATCCAGAGATATTTTCTGAGAGTCTTCCAAATTATATTTGTTGATCCATCCTCCATTTTTGACTGTCTTCCGACAGAAAAAATTAGATACCCGTCAATGTAAACTTGAAAATCTGACCGCCTTCCGGAAGACCCAGAAGATGGCCTAAATCTGCCCCTGCTTTGTGCCCCATATTGATGAGAAAATAATCCCATATGGCACGTTTTTGATTTCCTACATAGCTATCTGTTTGTGCCCAAAATAGCTATATGTATGTGTGTACGTATGTGCCACAATGCTGAGGTAGAAACTGCTTTCGGTCGGTATACCTCTATCCAAAGCTTATCAAGGAGAGAGAGAGAGAGAGAGAGAGAGAGAGAGAGAGAGAGCATTTGTTTTAGTGAAGTATAGTTTTACAAAATATAATACTTTACTGATAACTAGTATGTTTACAAATTACGATTTTAATAACGTTACGATAAAAAAATCGTAATATCACGCCAATTAGACAATCTTTACATAATACGTATAATCAAACTGATAGATACAAATTATGGCACTTAACTGTTCAGAAAATGCTTGTTAATATAAACTGTTCACAGGTTTGTGGCGTACCCCCCCGGGACACACTGGTACCACGCCCACTTGGGCAGTATGAGAACAGACGGGCTGTATGGAGCACTGATCGTCATTGACCCTGAGGAAGAAAGAACTAGGGTGAGACATCATAGGTCCCATTCAGAATGAGAAGAGCCGAGTGCTAGCTAGGCCACGACCTAAATATGGCGGACCTACATGAAGGAAAGACCGCTTATTCCTGTAATGGTCTCTCAATCTCTCACACGCCTTCTCACGCGTCTTCCCTGCAGGAGCACAGTAATTAAATCTTTTCAATTCAACCGATTGACCTAAAGATTGCAGTGCATACATTGTATACCTATAGTGCAAATAACAAATAGATATTTGACAACCAATCTAATTCTTCCTTTCCATATACCATATACAAAGTGATACTAACAACATTTGAACTATTAACTCATGTTTTAAATACGAACTTTATGACAGCATGGATAAAAGAAATGCCTGATTGGTGGTATTTCTAAGCGTCCTATCGACAGCGTACAATAGAAGTTGTTTGGTTTCGACAGGCCCGTAGCCAGCAATTTCAAAAGGGTGGTTCTTTTTTCTAAAAACGTGACCTTTTACCATGAAACCTTTATGCACCTAGATATAATTTTACCCAAAAGCGACCTTTTCCCTGTATAAGTAATATTTTTTTCTATGTTTTTTTTAATCAATTTGTGAAGACCTGACTGCGTATGAGGATTCTACATGACCCTATTTGTGTGAAAGATACCTTTGTAAATAAACTGATGTGTGCTGCTGTAGCTGTCACTTCAACTCCTCGGATTCGATCTGCTTGTTGAACATATAGTCCTGCGTCAAACGTGTAAACTTAACTGTAGTGACAACGAAATATTTCTAAGTTCTGAAGCGGCTTGTTTCGATAGATTCCAGTCATTGCCCAAGTTCACTCTGATCTTTCACGCCGTGTTTCACAATTTTTTAGCCAATAGTATGAGATTTAAGACTTAGAAATTAGTACCAACTTTAATCCAATTTTTCCCTCTAGGCAAGGAAAGAGACAGACATGACACTGATGCTGAGTGACTGGTTCTCCACAGATACCTCCACCATGTCTTCCAGTGTCATCTGGGAATTGGAACGCTTTGCCCCCTTCTTGCAGAGTTCGGACAGTTTTACACAATCATCTTGTTTTTATCAAACCAAGCAGCACGATGGGACAGACATAGGAGTTTGGCCAGTGCAGTCCATTCTTATCAATGGAAAAGGTAAAGTGTTCAGGGGCGTATCAAGAGCTATTTTCTGACAGTCTTCCAAATTATCTTTGTTGATCCATCCTCCAGTTTTGACCGTCTTCCGACTGAAAAAATTACATACCTATCTATGTAAACTTGAAAATCTGACCGTCTTCTGGAAGACCCAGAAGATGGCCTAAATCCGCCCCTGGTGTTGGCGTTTTTTTTTTTTTTTTTTTTTTTTTTTTTGGTAACCCTGGAGGCACTCTTGTGTGCGTTCACATATGTGTGTTATGTAATGCGGTATGTGTTTTGTATATGTGCTGCAATTGTGCATTGACCGCTGTGGGCAATGGAAAGGAAGTGTTGGCCATAGCTTTGATTTGGGAGCCCTGACGGTACATGAACCCCAGCTCATGTTTACTTATATTTGTGTGTGTACATTAAGTTGGTGATCGATTTTTATGTACAGACACAGATGTGTCTGTACAAATTGCTGTCACCTGCGACTGTCGTCGCCGTCGTCGCCGATAACACTGATAACACGATAAGTGGAAACACGTTTTACCTTTTGGCTTGAAACTTACAGAACTGAAGCGTATTCATAAAACGCGGGTCAAGTTCGAAAATCAGCATGATTGGGCTATTCTTTAAAACTGTTCTGTTTTTTTTTTTCTTTTTTTTTAGCATATATACAACACTGATAACACATTTCAACGGAAACCGATAGGCCTATTGTCTTGAAACTCTCAGGAGTGACCAATCTTATTAAAATACAGGTCGAGTTCTAAAATCAGCTTGATCGGACTATTTTTTAAAGTTACACAACTTTTTTCCCTGTTTTTCAGTATTTTTTTTCTATTTGGTACCCCTAGTGTTAACACATGATTTGTTGTGTAGTTGCTGTATGTGTAGTATATGCGTTGCAATTGTGCAGTATACATTCTGGTCAATGAAAAAGTACCGTTGGTGATTTTGTTTTATTGAGCACCCCTTGAATGTGTCACAGTTTTTGTGTGTGTGTTGTGCATTTTTGTGTTTCGCATATATGTTGCAATAGTAATATTTATGCTTTTACATGTTAGTGTGTGTTGTGATCTTGCACCATTCCGAACACGTGTCTTGAAAAAGGCGCCTGCTAAATAGAGTATTTCTGTGATTTACTAGATAAGGGAAATTTTTGCTTATTATTTTCAAATGAAAAAAAAAATGGGTTTTGGGGAGATTTATATAAAATGCATGCCAGCAAAGACAGTACTAATGTATAATTGATAGCTGATTTATTTATCTGTCAATTTTGTAAACAGTATATCTTACATGTAAGACCTAACAAGAGTGCTATAAACACAATAAAAGAGCGATTTAATCTAAAAAATATATCATTTTGTAACAGTCTGATTTTTTCACGCGAATGACGGTCACAATGGACGCACGCATCTGGCTGAACTGGTGACGTCATCAAGGTAGGAACCAGTACAGATCACATAGCATATATATATGGTCTCTATATTTGCAGGCACCGTGTGCGATGCCACTAGAGATGTGACGGTGGGTGGTTACCGTTGTAACAACAGACTGGAGGAATTCGTTGTCCCCAGACATAAGAAAATACGAATTCGGATCATCAATGGTGCCGCCCAGTATTCTCTCCGGGTATCCATTGACAGCGTAAGGGATCACATTCCTTTCAACTACGAGACCATTCAGAGCACAAGATCCGAGGATTTATTGTTCCATGGATCAAATATGGCGGTCCGCTAACGGTCCTCCCACCTCCACACGCGCTGTAAATTCTCGGATCTTCTATTCTGAATGGCCGATATATGTTATAGTGCATGTAGTTCACCCAGGCAACAGTTAGACCCCATTCCCAAAAAATTAGATCGATCTACTTTAGATCGACCTAACTCCCTGGGTGTTCACGCTAAATAGCTGCCAGACGAGCGGGCACGAAAGTTAATTACCCCCTTACAGCTTGTAATAGGCGGGACGGACATTTAAGCCGGATTATCTGACAGTAATATAGGGAGACTCCCCGCGGGGATAGATCGATCTAAAAGCTCTGGGGATACGCCCTTAAACTACAAGTTATTTTCACTCCAATTTCCGTGTTCCACAAGACGCTTTTAATGAATGAGGCAACTGTAGCACGTGCGTCTGTAGTCTAGCAGTTCATATACCTCCGTCTCTTGAAGAGAAAACTATTTTTCAAACGACCCCGACATCATGTTAGCCTTGTAAAATAACTATTCTTAATAAATGATAATTATTAAACAAAAGCCGAAAAGCTTTCATACCGTTAGCTTACCGTAAGTTTTTCGGCTTGTATTTCATAATTTTTATTTATGACCCAATTACCACCCTAATTAACAATTCTCCTCAACATTTCTTAATGTTCTTCCAGCATTCAATGACAGTAGAAGCCCTGGACGGTAATCGTATACAAGACATGGAGGTGGTAGATTATCTCATAATCCACACTGGCGAGAGATATGATATAGAGGTCGCCACTGACCAATACAGGGAGCATCCCATACAACCCGTCAATGACGGACATTTCTGGATAAGAGTTGAGTCTTTGGAAGAAGCAGACCAGGTGAGTACATGTATCTATGACGTCATATGACGTAATACCCTACGTCAGTTAAGGCCTCTCATTTTCATAAATAATGACAAAATTAAAAGAACAGACAATTATTCAGGTGGTAAAGAATTTACATTGGTAATGGAAATTCCAACTGCGCAGGCGACCTGCATGTGCTTCTTGAGTTTTCTACAGTGACGCGTACATGCCATTAATCGATGAATTTGGAATCTAATTCAACTAAAACTACAGCTACATCCTCCCAGAAATACATCGATTTTATGTGATTTCATTTATTTCATCGCAGTTAAAACCAATTATCAATCCCAAAACAGGCTGGGCAATTCTGAAGTATGAAGGAAGTCCCAGCAGAGCGAAGCCGTTCACCACACCCAAGCAATGCCCCCAGTCCAACCCATGTGAGGTGCTCAACTGTCCTTTTAGGTGAGGAATTCTCAAACTGTTATTCTTTAACTGCATGCTTCTACAATGTACCAACTGTGTTCGACGCGGAGAAATGGGAATTATTAAACCATTTAGCTATTAACTAACAAATGCCTTTGCTAGTTCATGTCTTAAAGCAATCCGGAAGTGTGATAAAATATATTAGGAAACGAACCATTTCGCATGTGCGTGTGAGTGTGTGCTAGCGCGCGCACTCGTGTGTGTGTGTGTGTGTGTGTGTGTGTGTGTGTGTGTTAGCAAGAGCATTAGAGTACATGTATGGGTGTGTGCGTGTTTGAGTGAGAGAGAGAGGAGAAAGAGAGAGAGGAGAAAGAGAGAAGAAGGCATTTCCGCCGTCTTAGCCTCCTGCGGTATCCAGGATTATTGGTTAAAGAAGCGATCTACACGTCTGTTTACACAGGGACTACCGACCCGTGGGAGGCAATTATTACACCTGTATCCCAATAAGCCAGACCAAAGCTCTCGGCAGCATTATCGACAGGTACCCCGTCCCCATGCCCACCTCTGATGACGACTTCCAACAGATATTCCTCAACTTTCATTTCTCAGGTAAGTTGCTGCAATGACGTATTTGTAAAGTTTTGGACCGATGCCCTCCACTTCAGCTAATCTGATCCAAATGTAGCAAAAAGAGTTTAATTAACATTCTTGTTAGGCTGTTACACAGAATTAGTCAATTAGATTTTTAAAAAAGATAGAATAAAAGACAACTATATAAAAAAAGATATAATGCACATACTAGTGTAAAGTAGTAAATTGCACTTCACGAGTACTTTGAAATATTTGCTTACATTTTAATTTTTAAAAAATGCATTCTCAGTATCTCAGTTTTGTGACGACAGGTTCCAACGCAGTGCGATCATCAATCAACGGCCATTTGTTTCGCTTCCCAAGGGTTCCCCCGCAGGTAAAGTAATCACTTTGACATTTAGACGACAATAGAATAGAACATTATAAAATAGAATGGACTTACATGTATTATCGACTGACATAGTTCCAGGAAAATTGGTCAAACATGCGCGATTTTTTTCTCATCTATTAATGACGTTTTAGGCTTTAAACAAACCGTTGGAGTCACAATCAAGCCAGGCCCCAGTTTCACAAAAAAAAAAAAAAAAAAAAAAAAAAAAAAAAAAATTAAGTCAGTTTACTAGTTTAGACGACTAGGATTTCCATGAGAATGCTGTAACACTGCTCCTGATAGGGTAAAATGTGCCCATGTGACCTCGTAACCTTGGTAATTAAGTTCTTAGCTGGGGAACCTGACTTAAGTTTTTTGTGAAGCAGCGGCCAATACACACTTCACATATGCTGTGATATGAACGTGATCATTAATTGTTTGAAGTTGCCTTTTGATGTTTGTTTCTAGTTGTATCCGGACCAGGATCCTCTCTATGAGTGTGATGAGCCCTGTACAGGAGATTGCTACTGTACGTATTCAGAGAAACTGAAGTTAAACAACGTCATACAGATCGTCATAATGAACATGGGGATAGGTGAGACACATTGTTTACAATCGGTTCATAGCATTCACACATAATTAAGGTCAGACACATTGTCTACATTCGTTTGAAAGCATTCATAAATAAGTAAGGTAAGACACATTGTTTACATTCGTTTCATAGCATTCACACATAATTAAGGTCAGACACATTGTCTACATTCGTTTGAAAGCATTCATAAATAAGTAAGGTAAGCCACATTTTTCGACATTCGTTTCTAAGCATTAATAAATACGTAAGGTAAGAGACATTCTCTGCATTCGCTTCATGGAATAATAGACACATAAAGGAGTAAGAAATAACTAGGTACTTAGACCCCATTCCCATTACTAGATCGATATAGCAGGATCGACCCATCTCAATCTCGCTAAATTGCTTTGAGCTTAAGCGGCTCTGATGTCTGTCACGCCTACTGAAGCTGTTAGAGGGAAATAAACTGTCGTTAAGCCAGGCCCCAGTTTCCTACTGAAGCTGTTAGAGGGAAATAAACTGTCGTTAAGCAGCTTCAGTAGGCGTGCCAGAAATATAAGCTGCGTAAGCTGAGGCTTCATTCACATGCAATGTCTATTTTCTAAATTCTATTTTCTATTCGCGGTATGTCTTATGATCACGGTCTGTGCTCTGAATATCCCGCGGCGTAATTACTGGTAGCCGCAATAATCCTGGATACCGCAGTTACTAAAAGTTACTATAAGTAACTGGCTCGCGCTGCCAGTAATTACGCGGCGGGATATTCAGGGCACAGACCGTGATCATAAGATAGCGCGAATAGAAAATAGATTTTTAGAAAATAGACATTGCATGTGAACGAAGCCTGAGATTTAGCGGTTCTGGCCTACGTGACTGACTTTGTCCGATATATTTCACATATTTGTTCGATATTTCAGGTCAGCCGGGAACCGCTCATCCAGTCCACATTCACGGCCACCACTTCCACGTGCTCAAGATAGGCTACCCACAATACGACAGCGACTTCCGGTTCCTGGCCGACACCGACGATATCAGGTGTAAGGACCCCTTCTGCAGCAGCGCTGAGTGGAGCGATGCCACCTGGGATGACTACACAGTATGGAACAACACTGCCAGGCGAATTAGACCGCCTGATGTTAACGCCAACGCCAACACTAACACCAGTGACGTCGGGGCAGGTGACGTTGGAGCAGGTGGCGTCGGGGCAGGTGGCGTCGGGGCAGCGGAGCCGTGGATTCCGGAGATAAACGTGATCGACCCGCCCTTGAAGGATACCGTGGTCGTACCGGTAGGAGGGTACGTGGTGGTTCGCTTCCGGGCGGACAACCCAGGTATGTTTTTTTCTGATTTTTGTACAAAGTTCGGTGACTTGTAGGCCCATGAGGCCGATTGATTTGTATAACTATATTGCACGTTAATAAATAAAAACTATACTATCACACGTCAATAAATAAAAACTATACTATCACACGTTAATAAATAAAAACTATACTAGTATACTGTAAAGTGGTGACCAGATAACGTACAGTGATCGGTTCCAAACGATTTAACAGACAGCTGAGAGCTCCTTTAAAGTTGCCTCTGTTTTAAAGAATATCACTTTTAAAGTACGGTTCACTTGATGTCATTTAATCGGCAAAATAGTTGTCTTATTTAATTTTTAATTTAGTTAATTTTATATCAATTCTGATTAATATTATAGAAATAGGGGGGGGGGCAATATTGTTTTTTGTTATCTCAAATAATTAATTATTTGACCAATTTAGTATTTGTACCTAGATAATTGTTTTCTTGTTTCCAGGCTGGTGGTTTGTTCACTGTCATATAGAGGTCCACACAGTAGAAGGGATGGCTATGGTCCTCCAGGAGGGGGAACAGTCAGAAATGCCCCCAGTACCCAGTAAAATCCCAAAGTGTGCCAATTTCGAGATGAACGATAAAGAGTTCGACGAGGCACTGCAATGGAAACCAAATGTCGCTAATCTAGGGAGCTCGAAAGCCTCTGGCGCAGCGGCTACTCGTTTTCATAGTCTCCCTCGTCTACTAATACCTACATTATGTTTTCTATACAGTTGGTAGATGATTTGAAATGAAAGGACTGTCTTTTAAAGACGTGCGGTCTTTCCCTATGTCTTTATCATCATCTATCCCTCAAGTCAATTAGACGTGATTGGATGGGCCTCTACTACATGACAACGCACTGTGTTGATAAAAACATCCGGGAAGTAATGTTTTACTATTCAGAGAAGAATTTCAGCAGCTATATAATGTTTTAAGAATGAGGTGTTTTTTTCTCCAGTCAACAGCTTAATATTGAAACAGCTTTACCTCCAATATCATCCCCTGATCAAGATGTCCTGTTAGACATCGAAATATTGGAGGTACTGTAAAACTATTTCAATATTAAGCTGTTGACTAAAGGAAATTTTACTGCATTCTTAATATTGTACTATGTTTAAAACTAATTCATGAAGTGTTATATTTTCATTAACAGTCTTCTAAGCAACACCTTATTAGCAACCTACGAATCGGAAAAAAATCGCACTTTTTTCTCAGTAACACTTGCAGCACCAACATTTACTAGTCCGTCGCTCTCGTCCAGCCTCTTTTATTACCGTACAAACTGTACACTACGTCTCTGTATGTTGTATTTTGAGGTCAAAGAGCTCATTCACAACGGATGAGCCGCGGCCTAACTGATCCGCCGACTAAATAAGGCCGACCCCTCTTAAAAGCAAGCCAACTAATCCCCTCATGGTCTCCCCGCCATCACATTCGCCATTAAACGGATTAAATCTCGATCCCGAGTTTCAATTGCTGGGCTCCTGCTTCATGTGGATCGGCCATATTTCGTCCGCGGATCAGTTAGTACGCGGATCAACTTGTTTCGAATGCGCTCAAACCCTCTCTTCCCTGTAGTTGATTATGGAAAATGACGACCATTTTCCAGTGCTATGAAATACCCACTGAGCGTATGATTGGTTTAAATTATTAATATAACTAAGTGTTGTTATGTCATTACTAAGTATATGTATTTATATTATGACATGAGTTTTGTTACATTTAACAATTCCTTTTTTTTTCGTACTAAGTGTCTCCATACATGTATATGCATATCTTGTCGCGTATAACTTGCAACGTCGTTAAAGGGATAATATCTCTTCGTTCTAACCAAAAATGAATTTTCCTAGAGTAAACAACAATTTTCCCATGCTTACCAATGGTTAATGAATCCATTTTTACATTCAAAGTTAGTCCCTGTTTTTTTTCTAAAAACCTTTTTTTTTTGTAAAAATCTCTTAAGAGATTATAACAGAGTATAGCCATCAATGAAGGTCACATGGTCAGATGACAAGCTCAGATATCAGAATAATAGCTATAACTACCGTTTATGTGGTAAAACAGAATATAATATATTTGTATGAATTGTTCACAATTTTTTTTATTGTGAAATATAGATCTCATACGAAGAGTTATTATCCCTTTAAACTGTTGAGATAATTGCAAGTCAACAGAATATTGGAATTTTCTTTCTGTCCCATTGCCTGAAAATTTTCACTCGTCAGTGGGACCCATGAGACATCAAGGTATCCTATCCGGGATTTTCCAGGTAGATAGAATTTTCCTCGAAAAAAAAAAACATTTTCGCCTTTTCTACTCCAGTGCACAGTGTTTTATATATCGTATAGAACTCTCTCAGTTTAACCGTTACATGTATGTCTTCCTGCACATATCAAAAGGGAATATCTTTTTATTTTTATTATTTATTATTTTAATTACTTTTATTTAAATAGATTTATCATTTTAAGGTCTGCAATAGGAAAATGTGTTAGCATTGCACCGTATATTGAAAAAGAAAATATAACTTTGGATTATTTTCCAACTCAGGTGATTTATTAGTTATATAATATAATCTTTATATTATATTATATAATACAATCTTTATTTAGCACTAAAATGTGTATACGTTACATTTTACAGGCTCTTCACTGGTCATAACAACTTTACAACAACTATACAAATCTATACTCGTTTGCTCGTTTGCTCCCTTGCACAACAATGACTTAAGACTAATATTATAGACAACCACGACGCACATTGCACCCCAAAGTGCATATTTGAAATTAAAGATAAATAAAACAATTTGAATGAAATATGACTGTCTTGTTGGCAAAATATGTACAGGACACTCTTCATCTTGATTTTGTTTCTTTTATATTAGCCTTCCGAAATGCTTTTTTTTTCAAATCTGTAAGCAGTACGTCACTCTATATTTCTCAACACCGTCTAAATAATTTTATATGCATACATCAGAGCTGGGCTCCGTATCTCGGCAAGTTCGCTATGTTGCGCACGTGCGCAAGTATCTCGATTCCATGGCCCCGTATCTCGAAATAAAATCGGTTATGGAATCGAGACACTAACGCTCGTGCGCAACATAGGGAACCTTTCGAGATACGGAGCCCAGGCCCCGTATCTCGAAAGCATCGCGTATTGCGAATCTCTATATCAAATAGAGGCTACAATGTATTATATGGGACGAGTATGGGAGAGTTATGGAATCGAGACGCTTGCGCACGTGCGCAACACAGCGAAGCTTTCGAGATACGGGGCCCAGGTCTATACTTCACAGCGGCTTTGGTGATATTTTGAGGATGTGAAATTAACCGAAAACAAAAATAACTAATAGATAAAGTAGCAGAGCTAGGTTTCGATCCTAGGACCTCGGGGTTATGGGCCCCGCACGCTTCCACTGCGCCACTCTGCTGTCATAGACATTGCTTGGCAGTATCTTAAGTTTATTCAACGAATTTTTTGATGCAACACCTTGTTTTCGGGGCTGTGCGGAACTTCCTTCTACCGGGGCGACAGATATTTTATCACATTTTACACCAGCCACACTTAGAAGATTGACAGTATTTAACCAGAGGCATTATCTGTGAATATCTGGTGAAAATTCAACGTTTGGTCCTGGTAGAGGGTACTTATAGTACGGAACGTACCAGTTTAGCCATGTTTGTCTTAGGGCGCATTCACATGGATTTTAGATCGATCTATCCCCGCGGGTAGTCTCACTAGATTACTGTCAGATAAACCGAATTAAATGTCCGTCCCGCCTTCTACAAGCTGTAAGGGGGTAATTAACTTTCGTGCCTGCTCGACTGGCAGCTATTTAGCGTGAACCCCCAGTTAGTTAGGTCGATCTAGTTGGATCGGTCTAATCTCTGGGAATGGGGTCTTAGCTGACGCAATAAAATGATAAGAAAATGAAAAAGTTCACCAGCTGGAAAATATTAATGAGAGCCACGGGGCTTGAAATATCTCAGTATATGCAGTTGACCATGCTGGTGGTTCTTTTATTCAGGTGAATTATTTTCTTTTGTGAACTTGTCGTGATCAGTAATGAAATTTCGTGTAATTGTAAAAGCAGGGCGTATTTCATCATTACTGTTTTTAAAATAATTTAAGCATTTTTCCTTTCAAACAGCAGTACGTCACGTCAAGTCTTCGCGCTCCTTCTAAATAATTTTATATGCAAACAACATGCGACATGGTTTATACTTCAAAGCGACTTTGGTGATGATTAGTAGGTTTGGAATAGACAGGAAAAAAAGGAACGTACCAAAACTAATTCTACCAGGGATAAGTTTCGATTCTGGGATCTGGGGGTTATGGGCCCCGCACGCTTCCACTGCGCCACTCTGCTCTCCTTATAAAAACATTGTCTGCCTTTTGGTTTTCTCAATGAATTTTCTGAACAAACACCCTGTCCTCGAGACTGTAAGGGACATGGTGGTTAAGACATGCTAACTGAGATAATGAGACGCCGAAAAATAAAAAAGTTCACCAACTGGAAAATATTAATGAGAGGCCAGGGCTTGTCCCTTGGAGAATTGAACAGAAATATCCCAGGGGCGGATCCACGATCATTTGAAGGAAGGGGCCAGAGCTGGCATACACTTCGAAGCGACTATTTAAAGTGATAAAACAAAACTAACCAAAATAGATACTAGCAGAGCTAGGTTTCGATCGTAGGACCTCGGGGTCATGGGCCCCGCACGCTTCCACTGCGCCACTCTGCTTAGGTAAGGGATCCTTTGTTCTCTTTTTTTAAAACCGATTTGGGGGGATGGGCCTCTCTAAAGTTTTTTTAAAATAATTTTACCATTTCCCTATCTAACAGGTAGACCAAGCCTAGCGTCTCTGCGGTCCGTCTAAAATTTTTTCTATGCATACAACACGATTACTGACCCATACTTCAAACGACTTAGGTAATTAGAAGGTTAGAAATAGACGGAAAACAAAAGTAACCAAAAGGAATTGCTAGCAGAGCTAGGTTTCGATCCTAGGACCTCGGGGTTATGGGCCCCGCACGCTTCCACTGCGCCACTCTGCTGCTACTATACCTGTTTAGTTGAATCCTAAGTCTTTTTCATTGAATTTTCTGATGCAATACCTTTTTCTCAGTTCATTATGGAATGTGGTAGTTGAGACATGACAGTGCTCGCCGTCACAATGAGACGATTGACAGAACATTACCTTATCGCTGGAAAAATATACACATAAATTTGAATAAATAAATAAATTGTCATACTATTTTTTTATGAGCCCGCCATTGTTTTGGTTGCTTGTTTATATTTGGTTCGTAGTAATACATGTGACGAGTTTTCACTCTACAACTGTTTTAATAGCAATGTTTAATACTGTGAGAGCTACATGTATAGGCCCTATGTGTCCTTGTGTCATTGCGTGGAGGGACGAGTGACAGGGATTTTAAATACAGCTTGATTCAAATATTACAAGTTCGTCTCCTGTACATGTAGGCCCTACCAATATTCAAACAATGTCGATGTCATAGGCAGGAATCATAGTGACCGAACATTTTTGATTGAAAAAAAAAATAATAAGCATATATTGCAGTAAAATACAGGTAGATAAAGATGGAGATTTAATTTTGCATAAGTGAATAACATGCTGATGATCGAATACGAATATGAAAACCTTGAACGTGATCAAAATTCCATCGGAGCCGTTTACCAATATCACCGCCATCAACGACTCCTAAGAAAATGTTACGCAAACATGCCTTATTTGAAATTTAAAATTAAAATAATCATGTCCAACAAAGGCTTAAGTGTTTTTAATCGCATTTAAGACCATGCACAGGTAGTTCCGTCCTATCTCAGATATACTAAGACAAAAGTCCACACGCACAGTCATATGTATTATACTGTCTCCTTTCGAGTAGCACGTGA